TTTTACAATACTGGTTAATTTTTCAGTTTGTCAATATGAAGGAAATAATTTTCCTTTTGTAAAAATAAACGGCTCCATCATAAATATCGGGTTTGAGATAATCTCTCAGCTGATTTTTACGACCCGAATGTTATATAATTCAAATTATGCCACAAAAACGCGGTGCGTAATTATCTCTTGCCGAGATTAATCGCCGTTTTTGTTCAATTAGAAAGTACCTTTACAGCTCCTCTCTCAGTATAAAAATTTTGACTTATGAAGTGATGAGCGGCCAATAAATTTTTGCAGTCAAATAACTTCTTTTTTGCCCAACAGTTCGTCTGCCGGCGTGGGTCGTTTGAGCAATAGAGAAAAGTAATTTATCAATTTTATTATTATTATACACATATTCGCAGTCGCGGCTTTTGATGATTTACACACCCACGCCTTTCTCGCGCCGCCATTCATGTTGTGAGAAGCTGCCGGGTCGCCGAACCGCGCGTATATCCCGTGATTTGAGCTATTTCTGCCAACAACAAGAAAAGTTTCCTTCGCGGTAGCAAAAATCATTTCCTCGGAAATAAATTTATGCGGTCCCTTATTGTTTGCGGTAATTTGACCTGCTGGTGGAAAACCTTTGTGTCACACGAGCTTCAAAGATGTCAAAAATAACTTATTGCTGGTTATATTTCCAACAAAAAATGGAAAGTTCCAGAAAATCCCAGTTGTTATTTTGCTATCACTAAAAATAATTGTTTATTTTTAGATGATTCGATTGATGACAACAAGGTTTAGATATTTATAACACTCCCCTGGATTTTAAATTTAAAGAATTTAATTAGTGAAGAATGACAATTAAATTAATACATTTTAGTTATAAAAAAATATTGAATGGAATATTTAATTAAAATTTAAATCTCTGATATGGAAAGTTTTTACGTTTTCCTTCTGTGACCACGTTTGTGTTGTACGTTAGAATACGATGCGGTTGATTGTGCTCCTTCTTGTCCTCATTTTATATTAAGAATGAACGCCTTAAAAAGTAATACGCTCAATGCGGGATATTTAATTATTTAAAATAACTTTTTCCTTCGTTTCCTTTTCCTCCATTGAGGTTTTCTTTTTTCAAATACAGCATGCATTTCTTATTGTAAATCATACTGCTTATCAATCAAAAAGCAAATTGACATAGCTATTAATTAATTTTATGATCAATGTTTTTACTTGAAAATTAGTAAAATTGTCATTTCCTGCTTAAATAATTATAAAAAAAACCTAATATTAAAAGTTCATTATTCTTTAAGACACTTGAGAAGGAAATTTTTTATGAAACCTTTAGTTTTCGCTGAAAACAAAAATCATTAATGTGCCACTATTTTGGATTCATAGTAAAATTTCTCATTCAAAATCCAATTTTCACAACAAAAAGAATAACCTATAAAATTATTTCATTTTCTGCCTATCAAAGCTTCCTGGAACAAAAAATATAAGTCAAACAAATCTTAAGTTCAATCATAATAATTACGCATGATATTTTTAGGAAGTAATTTAAATCTCAGTTCTCGGAGATCAATAGAAGTTGTGTGATTTTCACAATAATTTATAATATAATTTAAAATAATCTTCATTCAAAAAGTTATAAAAAAATTATGCATGCATTGCAAAATGAATCCAACGAGAAGAGAAACTTGAAATGTTATAGGCGCGTCATAAAATTTTAAAAGATTTTATTTCAAATCGACTTATACCTAAATTGCCCCACGTGCAGAGCTGAAAAGAATTGCAAAATGAAAAGTATTAGATGTTCACCATATATCACTCTTAGCACTCCTTACATTAGCGCGCGCGGCAAGACGTATGAGAGAAAGAGATGAAAAGAAGTCGTAAAAAATTATGCTCGCCTCTCTATGTAAATTTTGCTCAGAGAGCGCGTACCTGAGGTACTAAAAAGATTTCACCGTTTTGTGAATTATTTGCGTTCGCTGCCCACGCGAAACCTGCGTCGCTCCCGACGGCTCGTTTTTTGCCAAAATTTGCAGCAAATCACCCGCAGAGGGAGTCTTTGGTTCGCTTTTGCGCACCACCGCCGTTCGAAATTTCCCAGAGTGGGCGCCCGACTTCAACCGCACCCACGCACTAAAGTGCGTCCATTCATATAAAAGCGAGTTTAACAATGTGCATTGGTAAAACATATTTCATACCGAAATTGTGCGCGTTCGACCTTTGACCGCGCGTAATTAAGGATAATAAAAGCGCCGATCAATCACGCCGATGTAATAATAGCGCTGCACGGGAGCTGCTTGGGTTATAGCAACAATTTTGATTGGAGTCGATCTCGGAGATAATCTGCCGAGACGGGCATTTCTCTTCTCCGGAGAGCTATTATCACCATTGCAGATAATATGGCGTTTGATTGATTTCAAGTTGCGCACTTCACTCGCTAATTGCCCGCTTAATTTGATTATATGCGGAAAAACAAACTGCGAGATTGTTGCAAAATTTTTGTTTGTTTTTAATTGCTGAAGCGAAAGGGAGTCTGTGTTATTAAACAACGAATTAATTTTTTTAATAATATTAATTTTGCTAGAGATTCTTGCTAAATCTACTTAAAAATGAATTTATGAGGAAAAAAATGTTGTGTATTTTGCAAAATTAATAAATAAAATGGCTCTTTTATTGCATAAAATCAAATTTAAAGTTCCACAATTGGTGATTCAGAAATGAAAATTTCATCAATTTTCATTAAAAAACTTTAACAGCAATTATACTTTTTTATAAATTTTTGCACATTCCCCCTTGAAACTTGAAACATCCTTAAAATATTCTGAAAACAAACTTTGAGACTATAATTTTAAACATAATAAAAATATCTTTTTTAAAATAAAATAAAAATTATATTTTACTTTCATAAAGATAAACATATTTTAAGATTTTTTTATTTATTATTTATAATTATAAAAATTTATTTTATTTTATTTGCTTATTTTAGTAATTAAACCGCTATTATTAGAACTAAATGTTTTTATTTTTGTGATAATTTATAAATATTACCTTTCAAATGACTTGTAAATTATATTCTTTCAAAGAAATCTCGATGGTATGGTTCTCGGCTGCTGTGACTGGCGCTGGCAATTATTATTTCCTTACATGATTGACTATTAAATTTATTAGTGCTTTAAAATTCACTGAATTTAAAAAAAAAATATTAACTAAATTCTTACTTTCTCGTGCAAATTGAAGCACAAAATATTTTTAAGTCTCAATTTTTAATAATCTAATTTCTCTCAAAATGTTTCTGCAATAATTCGCCAATTCTTAAAGATTATTCTGGTGATCCATTCCGTTCGCACGGCCTTGGATAGTCGTTTCAAAAGTGAGTTGAAAAAGGCACGCGAAAATACAATGTTCCTATAAATCAACAGGCCAACTATCTGTTTAATAGATATTACGTGGGTAATTGAGCATTTTTGCAAGGCAATTGCTGAGATCCGATCTCTCGTCGAATGAAGACGTCGTGAGTTGCAATAAGGCGACTGAAATGTGGAGATCGAGCTCGCTTTTGCCATTGCATGCGCAATCAGAAAGGCATTTGCCTGAGTTCGAGCGCGTGTGTGGCTGCCGAATATTATTGTTGTGTTATATTGTGCACGAACGCAATTTATGGATCACATAATTTCACTTGTATAACGTCATTTTGCGCGCCGATTTGACGTGCGGCACACCTCACCGGGCAAGACCAGAGCAATAAAAATGGGATATTATATTATGATGAGGACCGCTTCTGCATCAGCAAATCGTTTATGTAATTTTTTATTGCATGAATTCCTCTCCTCTGACTGAATATGATAGTTTTTGCTGCACTTATTCGCTTCATTAATTTTTTTTTAAATAATTAATTTCAGTTCTTTTATTTACTAAAATAATAAAATGTTAATAGTTTTTTATTTGGGGTTACTGTAAAGGATTATTAACAAAATTAAAGTGTTTCACAGTCTCTGTTAGTGGATTTTTTATTGCTTTTAGACAAACAAAACCTAATGATCATGCAAACCAGATTAAAATTTGATTAAATATGGTTAAAAGAAAAACTCAAACATTGTTCACTGACTGATTATTCATAGTTCATTCATTTATTCCAATTTTTAAATATTTTTCGCAAAATAATCCCAAATATTTATAAAATTTGTATTGTACTGAAACAACTAAATTAACAACAACAAATAGCACAAATTAATATATTACTTTATTAATTCTGTCTAAATATTTTGTTATTTTAATCTTTGCAAAAATTACAATTTTTTAGTTAAATTACTGTCAAATTTTTCTGATAAAAAAGCCGTCTTACATTTAAAAGGCAAGAGATACCTCAAATAATTAATTCAGACGTTTATTTTCCTGGAAATATTTATTTTTCAGGCTTTTTGGGTTATCAATGTACACAAATATGCACCATTACATAAATTGCATGACGTGGATCGAATTATTAACTAATAATTATTTTGTAAAAACAAAAGTCATAACCAGGCGAAGTTAATTGAATAGATGAAACATGTAAATTTTTTCGTAAGAGCGAAAAATGTCAACTGAGGGGTGGCTTTGTGGCCAAAGACTGAAAGATTCTGTGTGCAGGCAGCAGGGCAATCGAGCTTTGCATATTTTTCCGATAAAAAGTATCTCCCCAGATAATTCAATTTTTTTTTCTCGCAACCGGTACCATTTTGGGCAAACAATCCACCCCCGTGCGCGCGCGAGGGTGGCAAGAGCAGCTTTGGAAGGAGAGAAGCACCCCACACCCACGGCCGCCTCCAGTTCGGAGCGGCTGCTGGGGGTGGAAAATCGATGGCGGGGTGAACGGTGACGGCGTGGACGACGTCATCAAATCGGTGACGTCGCCCGGGTTCAACCAATGAGGGTTGCAGCGGAGAAGGGGCCGCGTGACGTCACCGGTGCGCGCTGACGTCACGGCCGCTCCGTTTTAATAGTTGGTGTCTTACCGGCTCGCTGGCATTCAGTGTTGCGGACTCACGCGGTGCACACTCCCGGCGATGCAAACACAGCATTAGATGAAGGACTGCATGCGGTTCCTCAGAGAAGATGTCTTGTGGACGGACAGCCAGCACAGCAGTCAGGACTCCGTCCTAGAGTCCGATGGCGTCAAGGACCTCGAACCAAGCATCCTGTACATCAACAAACTTAACCTTAAGTCAGCCGTCATCGACGTGGGCGACGCCGACCGCTTCCTCCTGCGTCGGCCTTCGGCGGGCCGCCGGTCGGCCCTGCTCGGCTCCTGCGGCCGCACGGCCAGTCTCGAGAGCAGCACTTCGGCCGCCTCTTCGTCGCTCGCGCCCGGCTCGTTGCCGCCGTACTGCAGCGAGGACGAACTGTGCGAAGAGGAAAAAACAGCCCATTGCTCACCAACAGGTAGGACCGCGATTTTATTTTATTAAATTGAAACTTCAAAAACAGCTGCTTCGGACTGGGTCAGTATTATAAGTCCAGGAATTTCAACGTCGGAAGTAAAACGCGCCTTTATATATTTAAGCATCAATTATTTATTTTTTTAATAATTTTTTTTTTTTAAATAGCACTGAAAAAGAATTGAGGAAATGACAGATGAAATGCCAAAAGTGCATTGATTACGATGGTTGTTAATATTATTGCGTAAAAAGTAATAGCCGTTTTTGACCGCTGTAAAATAATTCATTTCGCAAAAAAAAAATTGTGCATTGCGCCTCTTCCTAGAACACAGATGGAAACCTGACCCATATTTATACTTTATTGCTTTATTAAACACTCTTGCTTGCCGGCTGCTTTGCCTGCTGATTGACTGCACGCCGCGGCTCGGAGCGCGCGCGATTCACCCACTATGCATCTCGTGAAGACGCGCTCCTTGCCCGCCAGCAGCAATAAAGCGATAAAACAATCCGAATAATTGCCCACCCGGCGTATTCACAAATATTATCATTTGAGTTACGAAATACACCATTTTTCTATTTCTGGCACAAATAAATTTCTTGCGCAAAAAAAAAATTATTTCAATTAATTTGTCGCGCGTTTTCACACTTTTTTGCTCTGCAAGACGAGAACAGTAATAAACATATATATTCAATTTTCACCGCTGCTGCGCCTATAACAAGCGAAAGGGTCATGGGAGACTCGATCACAACAATGCAGCTGCATGTGCATAAAAGTAGCGTAAACCGCAAATAATAAGCGCTTCTTCCTCCTCGCCCAGGTGCCCGCCGCCGTTATTGATTCTCACACAATTTGCAAGTCGTCTGCTTTCTAAATTACCCTGAGTCGCGCCAAGAAAGGTGGTTTTTTCATGCATTATTTAAGGCAGGGTCCCATAGGAAAACGTGTACACAGAGAGAAAGAGATGCGAGCAGAAAAAAAGAGCGCGCGAAAAGGAGCAAGCGGCGCAGTATTGGAAAGGCAGATGCGATTACACAGACGACTGAGCTTTCACTGTGACCCCCCGGCTGACCTCGCAGAGTAACCTGCCGTGGATGCTGCGCGAAGAAGAAGAAGAAGCCGCCTCCAGCGAAAAGAGAGAGTGATCCTCCTCGATATCGAGACAAATCACGTAACTCAACCAGTCCCTAACGCAATTATTATTAATTTCGGGATGGGGAGTCTCCGTTTATTTATTATGCAAAACGTCCAAAGTCACCGCGACGGCCACTTTCGATGGCTCTTATGTAAATCCGAAACAAAACCTGATCGCAGAGAGATGAAGAGAGTCTTTTTTCGCGATTATAGGAAACTGAGTTAGTGACCCTTGGGCTGACCTCGGTGAGAAGAGATAGAGATGGGCTAACCGAGAAGTTAATAGTCAATTTTCGCAACACAAACACTTTGGTGAGAATTTTAAATTAGTCTCGTTAGAAGTATAAAATTGGGTAATTTGTTTGTTTTCCTTTCAGAGCTAATTTAAAACCTCTGTTAAACCGAAATTGATATTTTTTTATCTCTGAATGAAACATGAAAAGATGGACTCTTTCTTGACAATGGTCTTGATTGATACTCTCCGCGCCGTGGGTGGACGCTGCTGATTACATTTACTTTTCCGATTAGCACATGCACGCAGGGTGCCGCGGACAAACAGCCCTTTTGTCGTCAAGGGAGGCTTCTTCTTTTTCACTGGCGAGAAATCAATGGATTTTGTCTGCCCAAATCACACATATACCTGCCGGCACCGGGCGATAATTCATTTTTCATGAATGACACCCCCGCAGCTCGGGCATAAAAGCGTGGTGCTCACAGGGGTGGAATTACGTCACAAACTCCGCATGCTTGACGTCATTAGCCCCCGGTCCATTGATTTCCCGGCAATGACGTCGGCACCGCGACGTTAGCGTCCCTTTGATCTCCTCAATGAAAAACTCGCAGTTCTGCGGCCAACTTTTTCTGCCGCAACTTCCAGGATTGATCAAAACCGCATTTATTTGTAACGGCAAAATCGGTTCGGCTAAGGAAAAGGAATAATTGAATCGCAGGATGTGATTTCATCTTTCATAGTTGCCTAATGTTCTATTTAAATATAAATTATATTTCATGAATTATGCTTGGAATTGCCAAATATACTCTCCGAAATTTGCAATTACGATCTAATGAGGTTGTTGCTCAAATCGGAGCGACGGAGATGCATCTGTTGTGTATATGGAATGGAGCAGCAGGTTCATCTCTTGTGTGGAAATGTTTCTCAATCGGAGCTAGGTGTCCCCTTTGCCGTATGCAATTTTCCTCGCTCACAGCGGCAGGCCGTCTGCGGATCGAGTGAAAGGAAAAGTGAAGGCGCGTTGACCCACAACGCCTGCCTCATCCTCTCGCCGCGCTGCTCCTTTTCCTTCCTTCAACCAGCGAGGGATGGCTGAGGGTACGGTCCCCGTGACATCACCACCGCGCTGACGTCTTTACCACCAGTGACGTCATAGCCAAAATCAATGCCCTCACGCACCCTCAACGCCGACGCCGCTCTGCATTATCTCGAAATTGTTATTCGTGCGTCTGGCCGGTGCGTGTTCTTAAAAGCCGCGCGCCCCCGCACTTTATCGATTTCGCATGACACTTTTGGTCCAACAAAAGAATGTGCCCGAAAATCATCCCCGGGGCATATCGAGATATTCTCTGAATTTTCCATGCATTTTTAACCAATATTTTATGTGCTGTAATGAGAGTGTTGCTTAAGTTTTGCATCGCTTAATAATTTAAAAAATTTGTAGGTAAAAAAATCCTTTAAAAAGGAAAGACAAATTTATAACATCTACTTAAAAAAATCTGCTTAAATATTCACCCAAATACACGTACGTTCTATGTGTGAACTATATTTTTTGAATAATTTAATGATTGAGGGTTGATAATTTTTTTTATCTCATTTTGATTATTGACGATCTTATTGCTGGTAAACTTTAAATTACTAAATTCACTAGTTGAAAAATACTCATTTAAATAGATTCATTTAATATGAAATTTACTTTTTACTTTGTATGAAAATTAATATTAATACCTTTATTGAGAATACCTGAATATGCGTTAAATAAATTACAAATTTATATTAAAAAAATTCAAAATTAAATTAATAATAATTATGATTAAATGAAAATATTAATAATTTGCCTTACTTTGTTTAAAAAGCGGCAAATGAGACCAACACCGTAATTTCTATGTAATTTATAAGTTTTAAATATTAAAATTATAAGGTAAAAATAAATAAAATTATTTTCCGTTTTCGATATTAAATTATGATTTAAGTTTTAAATTTTTTGCAATAGCATATCCCATCCCTCGTGGAAAAATCGGTAATGAAAATTTTAATTTTTCATCTCCATCAAAAATGATGATCTTGCAATCCATATTTTGCATTGCTGGGATCGTTTTTGCAAATATGGAAGCCGCCCGTTTGCCATTTCAATTCGCGTGCGTGAAACTAGATGGTCTGCCAATGACCGCGTTGGTGACGCGATCGTTGCACCCCGAAGCAAAAACATCCCCGACCTGGCCGCAGATGGCACGAAGGGTTGCTTTTTCGATTCTGCGAAACGCGACGAGTCGGCGCAGAAAATAGCCGGCGCAGCGGGAAGGAAAATTTCTGCAATGCTACACTAATGTACTGGTTACAAAAGCGGTGCTCAAAAGAATTGCTCGCGCCGCGACGAGTGAGCTGCATCTCTCTTGTGCAAGAGCGGTGCATTCTAAGCCTGTCGATAATTCGGCTGCAAAAATACATTCGTTCGAAATCGGGCTGCCTTGGCATGACGACAGAAACACACGCAGGGGAAATTAAAATGAAAAAAGAAGAAGCTATATTATTATTAATAAACCCACTCTTCAAATTGAATTAATCAGCAATATTGCGGCATGGACAATTAATTTTCACTTTCACGCGCGGTGCGAAAATTGCCAATTGAAGCGTCGATTGACTCATTTTTGAGCGTGAAAAAGTGCAGCGAGCATGGATTATCCGCCAGCACGGGCTGCAGTGCAATAATAATGGTCCTTGATTACACGCCTCGAGAAAAAAATGACTGGCAATCATCATTCATGTGTGTGTTTGTACATTCATGTTTTAATGCTGTACGGAGAAAATAATTGCGTGCTCCTTTCGCGCGGGATCAAATAATAACAATACGATGAGCACGCTGCTTATATGTTTTGAGAGAGGACCATCCAGTCAAAGGTGTTAGCACAAAAATCGCACGCACACACTCTGTGTGGAAACACACTGATTATTTCACGGCGTGAAAACAGCTAGCCCGAGGCCAAGGGTCGAACAATAATTGTGATTCGCGATTTGCGCGAATCTAATGGCCGGGTTCAAACACGGGAAACGCCGAACGGGGTTTCTAAAAAAAATGTGAGAAATCTAACGCAATAAAAACGACCTGTAAATTCACGGTATTTGTTTAACATAGAAACGTTAAAAAAACGTTAGAATTAAAATATTTTAATATTTTCAAATCAGTAATTTGTTGGAATTCAGTCACGAAAAAAGATGAAAAAAAAACATTCAAAATTTTTACACTCGTTATTTGCTTTCAGGTAAGTCTTCTGGTTTTAAATTAATTTATAATATCTCATTAAAACTATTTTTAAGTCAGCGCTCTCATTGGATGAAAATTAGTAATAGTCAGATTTGGTAATTTAAAATCGTTTTATAGCAATAGATCGACTGCAAACTTTTCCTGTTCATAAAAAATGAGTAGAAATAAATTAAATAATAATAATTAACTATGTAAACTTAAAGAATTTTTAAATCAAGTAAAATTCCAATTAAATTTGTCCTTATTTTATGTTTTGAATTATATGAGAATGTATGAAAATCACGAAAATAATATGGTTTTTAAAATTGCATAAAATTTATTTTTTAATTAACTACAAAATACAAAAAATAAGGCCAAAAAACAAAAATATTTTGCTTGTTCTACATGTGAATAGAAAGAAAATTCAAAAAAATTTATTGTTATTTAATTAGCTGAAATCTGCTTTTTAAGTGTTGGAACGTCTTCGGGCTAAATAACACGCGATACAATCAACACACAGAGTGTAATAACCGGCAAGAGCAATCAATTAAATAGCTGTATATACAAAGCTACATTGATTATGAAGCACTTTGAAGCAATGGTAAGAGAAACCTATCAATTTGCGCCGACGGAGCAGAGAGAGGCATCTCCGCGGGCGTCACATAACGTGCAATTAATCGCACGATCTGCTCCTCCAGATAGATACAGAGACACTCTATACCATCTTGAGTTTCGTAAGAATTGAAGCAAATAATCGGAAGCGATCGTGCATTATTCTAATGAAGCGCGGCGGATCGTGGTGCAGGCGAAAGATTAACGCGTGACTCGCGCGCGCGGTGCACACAAATAAATGGCCGGTTGGCCGCGCGCGGTTTATTTTGGCCCGGCGCGAGTCGAAAAGTATTTTGATGTGCTGCATTATTCCTCTGCGTGCAGCTGCCGGACAATTCAATGGCCGCGAAGAAGTCACGCCAGGAACTTGGCACCGCGAATCGGTGTGTGGCCCAAACTAATTTAGCTTTTATTAATTATTACTTTCCAAAGAGCAGATTTTATTACCCGCGAAGTGCAATCAGCCTCCGCTTTTCGTACCCGCTCGCGTTATTATAATAATATTATATCAGAGGCAGCATTGAAACGATGATGACAATGGGGCCGCTAAATATCAACCCGTCTCCTGGGGGTGCTTGTGCTTACGGAGCGGCACCTCGCCGAGGGGATGTGCGAAATATAAGGCTTGTCTTTCTCAGTCAGGGCCCATTCGCCCCCGAACCCCCGACATGTACAACTCGCTGCACAGACACTCGGCAGGTACTCGGAATCGGCTACAAATATTTATTTTATTTTTTATTTTAATATTTTTTGCATCACTAAGTATGGCATTGTTTTTTATTGCAGAAGGTAGCAGCAGCTGCCCCAGCCCAGTCGGCGATGAGACCGGACTTCAGCTGAGCCCCTCGCCGCAGCTTCGAGCTGGACTTCCCACGTCGCCCACTCACGCCCCAACCTTCAACCGCCTCTTCCCTCGCCCTAGACAAGTGAGTTATATTTTGTATTTTATTAATTTTGGCAGCAAAAAATATTAGTTTTATGCCTGTTGGCAATCCGCTTGACACAGAATTTATTTTTATTTATATATCATTTTTTTAGGAAAATAAACTTAGGAGTTAGAATATATTTAAATTACTTGTAGCATAAAAAATAAAATTGAAATTTTTTAATATCAAAAATCAATGTAAGCAATTTAGGGAATTTCAGGGCTATTGTAAGATTACCGCAATCCGAGAATGAAATTTTTGTGATTGTTATATAGAGATTACCTCACTACATACTTTTGCTTACTTACTTAGTAGATTTTGGTTGTTTGTCATCTAAAGTCAACATAGGTAGCTTCGTATAAGAGACACAGTAAGCCTTTGACGCCTGTGCTGGAGAGTGCCATGTGTTTGGCCAATAAATATTTAGACTTGATGCGCCAAGTTGACTCTTAAAATCTCATTCAAGTGTCAACGCGGTAAAGGGGCGAGGAAGAGCGCTCGCTTTGTCAACAAGGGCCATTAGATCCTATTAACAGATGGGGATGATACGCAACCCTTGTATAGTATCGGATTTCACGCCTCGCTATAATCAGAGGCTATTTTTCTCCTGTTAGACTCGCGTATGGCGCGAAGTGCATTAATAGTTTTTTATTAATCAATTTTTTCACTATTTTTTATATTTCTTGTTTTCTTCCTTTTGGAATCAGATCATTTTGAGAAGGCAGACTTTTCTTTATTTTGATTTCTTTTTATAAACTGGAATTTTTAGAAATTTAATTTTCAAAACTTTCTTTTGCGGATAAATTTTAATTATTAGCTTTCGATTCTATTCTATTTGACAAATGCGAATTATGAAGTAAGATTTGTATCTCAATTGTAATAAAAAAAATTTAAAATAACCTTTTTATTGCTTTTTATCTAATGAAGTTGAATCAATACAATATGGATCCATCACTCAATCAAAAGCGTGCGCGCTCCTCTCTTTGAAGGAAGGCACACAGAGAGTCACCGAAGCGTTTCACGCTCCGCTCGCTGCTTTATTAGGGGCGAAATAAAAACGTGCAAATGTCAACGCGGGCAGCCAGCCACGGAAAATGACTCCACTGAGGGAATTCATCAATTCTGCCCGTGATAGAATTAGCCGCCCGCTAATTTCCACCGGCCATAAATCCGCCGATCAGCCGAGCGCGTCCAAATTGCTCGTTTTTTTAACCAAAGAAAAACTGATGAATTAGATTTTGCGGAAAATCACTTGTCGCGGTGACTTAAACGCCGGAATTCTGATTTCAGAGCCAGTCGGATTCGTTCGCAGAACTTTTATCCTCGCCATTCTCTGAAGATAGTAGACCCCAAATTCTGCCTAGGAATCCTCAAAGTGAACCCTCGTTTCCCCCTCCGCCACCTTTGGACGCCTTCCAAGAGGTCGAGCTTTACCAGCAGAACTCCTACCAGCAGGCTGAACAGGTAAAAATCCTATAATGAATATTTTTAATTTGATATTAATGACAAAATTTCTTGAAGGTGCATCCGAGAGAAGCAGCTCAGTCCTACGTCTTTGCCCAAGATTCCTCGCCGAGCCACGGCGGACCTGCGAGCCCTTTGCCCAGTTTCCAAGAAACCTACTCTCCTCGTTATCGCGGCGGTGGCCCTGACTCGACCGGAGCTGATTCCGACCAGGCCGCCTCTCCGCCTCCTCCGCCCCCGTCCTCTAGCGCCAGTCCCCCTGCTACCCTGCACCTGGCGGCCGCCTTCAAGATGGCGGTTACTGGTGAACCAGCCCCCTTGAGACCATCAAGCCACCTAGGTAATTAAATTGGTTTAAATTATAATTTAAAGAAAATTTTTTGATTATTTTGTAAATTATCTGCTTTGACATTTTTAGAGCTAAATTTACCATTGTTGTGAAAAATTGAAGTTTTTTGACAATAAAATCTTCTATATGATGAGGAAATTGAAAAATTTCAATACCATATGAAATAATCAATAATTTTAAAATTTATTGAATATAATAATTATTATTATTTATTATATAAAAAATTCCACCTGTTACTTTAACCAATTATTTTTTAATTTTTTCACTAAAGGAAAATTTTGTATATTAAAAATTTTTGAAAGGTATTTTGTGGTTTTAAGAAACTAATTTTTTTTCAAAAATTTGAAAAATTAAAGATTTTTTTCAATCACTTTTTGCAGACACCGACGAAGACATGGAAAAAGGCACCGAGTTCGCCGCGCCCTCGAGCTACTTCTACCACTTCAGTGAGGACTACTACTCGGACTACCCGTTCGCCGACACGAGCCACCACGCGCCTTCGACCACCCCTTGCTACAAAAGCGACGGCAGCCACGACTCGTACAGTCTGCCGCACTTCCCGGCCGCAAACAGCGCGGCCGTGGCGCCGCCGACCGACCACCGTCAGCGCCGCGCCTCCCTGCCGGTGCAACGCGCCTCGGACCCTTCGAGTGCGCCCCAGAGCTCTTCCCCCGTGGCGGCGCCGACCTCGTCGAGCCGACGCGGCGCCGACAAGGGTCACTCGCCGTCGCAGCTGTGCGCCGTCTGCGGCGACACGGCCGCCTGCCAGCACTACGGCGTGCGCACCTGCGAGGGCTGCAAGGGCTTCTTCAAGCGCACCGTCCAGAAGGGCTCCAAGTACGTCTGCCTGGCCGACAAGAACTGTCCGGTGGACAAGAGGAGGCGCAACCGGTGCCAGTTCTGCCGCTTCCAGAAGTGCTTGATTGTCGGCATGGTAAAGGAGGTGGTGCGCACCGACCTGCTCAAGGGCCGCAGGGGCCGCCTCCCGTCCAAGTCCAAGTCGATGCAAGAGTCGCCGCCGAGTCCACCAGTGTCCATGATCACCGCTCTCGTCAGGGCGCACGTGGACACGTCACCTGATCTGGACAACCTTGACTATTCCCAGGTGAGCGATCTTTTTAAAATAACTTCATCAATTTATATTTAAGTATACCTCTTCAATAATAAATATTCTATATTTAAATATTAACATAATTATATTTAAACATAAATGCTCCACACAAAATTAGCAAAATGTTATCCTTGATTTTAAATATTTATGCTAAAATTAGTTCTATAATTAGTATTATTATTCAATATTTTATGTTTAATAAAAAAAATTTTAATAACAAATTTTAAAAAAAGATAAAAACATAATACATGAAATTTTTAGGTATATTAATTAAAAAATTGGTTTTATAAAATATTTTATCGTAAAAAAATTTTTAATTATTTTTGTAATAAATGTTATGTATATTTCAAGTTATTTAAATTTTTATTTTGAAATTTCAGTATTGTGCCGCTCCAGTAATGCCGCAAAGCGAGGCTGACAAAGTCCGCCAGTTCTACCATTTGCTAACCACTTCCGTCGACGTGATTCGCACATTTGCTGACAAAATCCCCGGCTTTGGCGATCTCAAGAGAGAGGACCAAGACCTCCTTTTCCAGTCCGCCTCACTCGAGCTCTTCGTCCTGAGATTAGCCTACAGGTACGGACGGACGCATTCCGCTTAAAGCCACACTGGCCAAAACTAACGTGGATTTTCTCTTTTGCCCTCACAGGACCCGGCCGCAAGATCAAAGACTCACTTTCTGCAACGGCGTGGTGCTCGACCGACAACAGTGCGCCCGCACCTTTGGCGACTGGCTGCCGGCAATCTTTGAGTTTTGCGCCTCTTTGCACGCCATGGAGATCGATATTTCTGCCTTCGCTTGCCTGTGTGCCCTCACTCTGGTCACAGGTATGTCAGAATAATCAGATAAATTAAAACAATTTTTTGTTTTTAGATACTTACTTACTAAAAGTTGAGAGATTATTGGTTTCATTATTTAATTTTTCTTTTTCGTGTAATTTCTCAAATTTGTTCAATTTATTTAAAATATTTTCATAAGATAATTATTTTATTAATGTTTTATTATTAGAAACAAAATTTTGCTGTATTATAATAGAGATGAAAATAAAAAGGTTCCAAATTTAAAGAACGTTTATTTTTGTCCTCAGAGCGCCACGGACTGAAAGACACTCGGGCCGTGGAGCAGCTGCAAATGAAGATCATCAGTTCGCTGCGTGACCACGTTACGTACAATGCAGAGGCGCAGCGCAAAAACCACTACTTCAGCCGGTTGCTGGGGAAGCTGCCCGAGCTGCGCTCGCTCAGCGTCCAGGGTCTGCAGCGCATTTTCTACCTGAAGCTGGAGGAACTGGTGCCGGCGCCGCCGCTGATCGAGAACATGTTCGTAGCTAGCCTGCCCTTTTAGATCTCCTTGATTGATTTTTGACACTTAAAATGTTGGCGTGTGCGTGTGAAAAATGGCTGTTGTATTTTCTCATCCTTTAGACCAAGTGTTCTTCGCCACATCTCACGCGGTGTGTTGTAGTTGATATAACAATTATTCGCAATCGATGATCAATTTAACCAACCAAACCACCACTTGAGCGGAAAATCTGTCTATGTATTAGTATGAAGGATGGAAAATAAGAGTATTGTTATATACAGAAAGTGAACAAGTCTCTCGTGTGAAAAGATTTTTCATGAAATTATCACTCTTCGTATAAAATGTGAGATAAATATCGAGTTATAAATATATGTATAATGATTGTGTAATTTTAATCCAAACACTTTTTAAAGAGACTGAGCGAGGATTTCTGCGGAGAGAGGAAAATGTGATGCAGTAAAATAATCTTTAAAAATCTTACTCTTGAGGCTTTTAAAAAATTGGAAACATATAGAGACAGTTGGATCAATTACGTTGATGGAGATGCTTGCAATTTATTCTTGTACTGCTCCAGACACGCGCACTTCATGTCTAAACGTCTCTCTCTTCTCTACATATTTTGGTGTTCTTACTGTACTTCCGAATTTTATCTCTTCAATCCCAACTGTCCGTGCAATACACGCATAAAATATAAAATAAAACAATCAGCTCCGAAGCACAATTTTCTATACAAAACTTTGGTCTTCTGTAGAGGTACCTATCATAACAATAACCAGTAATTGAACTGTTTTCTGCAGCAGGGTAGCGATGTATTCAGAGAGGAACCGAAACCTTCGAATTCAATTTAGCATTTAGAAGCGGCGAGAACATTTAACAATAGATAATTAATATTCCAGTGGTAAAATATAGAGACGAGCACGCGCACACAAGCGAGGCAAAAAATTTAATTATCATCAAGCTAAACCCACAAAACAACACACGGTCCAAAATAGCAATACATTTTGGTGACAAAGTAGAATAATATTATTTTAATTAACCGCGCCGTTTACCCTCTGATCCCTGTAAAATCTGCCTTTGGTTTTTAGCCAGCATTAAATTTATTATTTAGTTTTTAACGCGAACGAAAATAAATGGAAACCGCAAAAGACGCGCAATAGCATTTGATGCACCTTAAGAGTAATGTTATTTAAATAAAGCACACACGGACGCTGTGGCATATCAATTTTACGTAGCTTTAGGGAAAAATTGAATTAGGTGTTTCCCGATTGATAATCTCTCCGAATATTCTATTGATTGTGTATAACGAGAGACAAGAGCGACTTTGTTGATTGATATAAATTATGAAATATGCACAAATAACCACCGGGTTTTCAAAGCAAAATTATCTCCTTCGCACACACGTTTTGGTGTTTTTTAGGCTGATCGAGTTGTAAGATCGTTTATATAAAAGTGAGCGTTTTGGCATCTCGAAATCTGCTACGTGACATATTATGTACTTAAACATTTAAAAAAATATATATATTGCTAGGTGTTTTTTATTCACGAACACTTTTTACGGAACTTTTGAAACTATTCATACAGAAACGAAAAAAGAGAACTTGAAAAAGCTGTATTTTCTACTTGGAAATTTTTAATTATAGCTTTTAAGATTTTGGGTCGCCTTCGTTTTTAAAGAATATGTATAATACAATAGGGAGTACAACTGCTTGTAACACGACAAAATAAAAATATGAACGAAACGCGACCCAAAAGTGAAACTTAACGAATTGGCACAAAGTGTTGAGAACGATTGTATATTTTTAATTTTAGTTTTGAAAACCAAAGAGAATATATTCTAAAGAGAAAAATCGATTGTTAATTTTTTCCATTGCCAACAACTGCTTATTTGTTGAAAAAAAATTATGCATCTTTCCTTAGAGAAAATACCACCGAGAGGGGAAATAAATAAACAAAAATATACACAAACTGGTGATTGTGTGCGAAATACATGGTGAATAATCCGATGGAGGAAAAATCCCTTGTCAGACAAGAAAGAAAAATCAATAATCCAGCAAGAAATGGCTATAATGAATGTGTATTATAATTTACTCTTTTTTGTTGACTATTGAAGTTTTATCATCATACTATTATGTACGTAATAGCACTATATATTTTGCAGTGTATAAAAAATAAACACGATCAAAAAATAAGCCTCGTGTGTACATTATTTCCTGCTTTTATAAAACACCCAGACAAAAAGAGATTTTCTATTATTCTTTGCGCGCAATATATCTGCAAACACATGGAGCGCGCGCTTTGATAGATGTACGTACACGAAAGTTACATGCCCGGTCGGTACGTACAATTCGAAATCGATGTCGGTCTCAATCGACGTCAGCCAGGGCCAGCGTTCGAGCGCCGACGATGACTTGGGCCAACGACAGCCACTGCAGTATGCTGGGAAAACGCCGTTTTCCCTCCAGCCGCTGCCACAGAAACTGCTGCTGCGGGGGTGCGGCAAAGGGAGCTGCTTTGGAAACGAAAAATATACAGTATTTCTCGATCGGTGCGGAGCCGAAATTTTGAAGAATAAATTTTACTGAAATACACAATTTTTTCCAAACTTGTATTTAAGATTTAAGCATGAACAGTTATTAATATATTTAATGTTTTAGTAAAATCTTACTGACTCTGAGAAACGACCTTTTTAATAATGTTATATTTTCTGTACAATTAAAAAGACAATACCGAACCACTTGATGGTAAGAAATTTACAGCATCTTTCCTTACGTTTTAATTTTTTTTTTTTTACTTTTTTTACTCTTCCGTGCATTATTTAGTATTCCTATGCATATTTGCAGCCTGTTTTATAGAAAATAATTTAAATTAAAAAATTTTTTATATTAAAATAGTAATTATTATCACTTTAGGTTTGTCATATTTCTATAGAATTGTATAAATAAGCAATTTATCTTTTGAAGTTATTTTTTCTAATCAAAACCAAAAGTTATTCTATGAAGTATGAACTATGAAATTAAAAGAAAATTGCAATTAAAACTTGCTTATATAATAAATAGCAATTTTTTATTCCTTCAGGGAATGGAAATAGGTATTGATTTACAAACTATTTCAATTATTTTATTGTAACTTTCCCGCCAACTAGACTTGCAATCGGAGCCATTTCCACTCCCATAATATCATAATATATCAATCAGTTATGCAAATTTGTAATTAGCAGAAGTACAAATAAGTCTTTGATTTCCGCCTATCCACAGGTAAATATGTTCCAGACTGGAAAACTAATTTCACACTATCTAGAAGTAGTAAAATGATTTTGGAAATAATTTTTATTTACAGTTGTAACACTTAAAGAGTAAGCTACTAATTTGTTGTTGCAATCTTATAATTTAATATTTCCCAAAAATAACTATTATTGCATTATTTAAATCTTACGAATCAACGCAAAAAAAATAATGGCCATAAATATTTGAGCATTTTTAGCCATAACGTCTAAGTAGAAAAAAAGAAAACTTCTTGGAATCTTCAATTGTCGGTTTTTCATTGGTGCATAATTTTTCAAAGCTAAAAATGAGGAATTAAATTTATTAAATGAAATTACGGAAATTACAATTTTTTTTAGATTATTAATAAGTAGAGATGGTAAATTACGGAATATCCGAAACATGGCAAAAATCGAACGAGGGAGGGAGCGAGCGAGCGAGCCCGTCGCCGTGCCGAGCGCGCGCGGGCCGCGGCAGGACGAGGCGCGAGGCCTCACCTGGGCATCCATCGTGCATTGATTCATTTGAACGAGCGGCGGCCAGGGCTGCCGATAAAAATAACCAATTTGCCAAAAATCGGCGGGCGGCCAAGCTCGGCGGCCGCGCTTGCCGAGACGCGTAATTTATACGCACGCTTGCTTATTGCGACGTGTGCGATCGCGTATTGATTTTGTCATTACGTTGAACGGGCGTGCTTATTGGACGGCGTTAGAAAATCGATAATCCAGGCTGAATTGATCCTTTCTTTGCAGCTCTCTCACATTCAGTTACGGGCCCGGTCGCACGTCGGCACACACACGCCGAGCGCCCGTCCGCCGCTTTCCGCGGCTCGAACGCACCCTTCCGCTCGCACCCTGACTTCAGGACGCACCTGACAACATGAATTCGAACGCTCCCACACCTGACCACCCTGCCGAGGAGGAAAACTTCCAGCTCGTCTGGCACAACCACCAAAGCAACTTCCACGAGGCATTTTTTTTTTTAAATCATTTTCCTTTTTTTTAATTTTTTTTTTATCAATTAATACAAATCGATAATTTTTAAATATTTAATGATTTTTTATTTTTCCTTTTCAGGTCGTGGCTGACCTTTTGACGACCGAGGCTTTTGCCGACGTCTCCCTGGTGTCTGAGGGCTGCATGGTTCGCGCTCATCGGCTTGTGCTGTCCGCCTGCAGCCCCTACCTGCACAGCCTGCTTAGCGCATTGCCCGCGTCACCCAACGTGCACCCCGTCCTGTTGCTACCCCCCGAGGTGTCGCTCAGCACTCTGCGCACGCTCCTGGCCTTCATGTACCACGGGGTAGTACACGTGCCCCACGCAGCCCTCGTCGCCGTTCTACAGGCTGGAGATATTCTCAAGGTATAGTAATTTTATTTTTGCGAAATAGATAAATCCGCATAAATTGATAATTACTAAATAACATAATAAATTTAAAAAAAAAATAATAATTCTAATGGAATATATTAAATAGAAAAATATCTATTGAATTTTTTGATTTAATATAAATGTAATTTATTTTAATTGTTTAACGAGGCATTTATTAATTTTTAAATAATTTAATAAAAAACACATAATAAAAAATATTTATAATTATAATTTAAATTTAATATAGATCTTTAAACAATTAAAACAATCGGTAATTATATGAATAAATAATTAAATGTTAAAATGCTATTTATGAAAAAAAATTCCAAAATTCTAGGTGCGCGGATTGTGCAGAGAGGAAGAGCCGCTGCAAGATACACAGCACCCATCAAGGACAGCAACACCCCCTATGCCGCAAGTTCGACCAGAATCTCTCCCCCAACAAGTAAGAGAGCAGCGAGCTAAAGATAAATAAAATAAATAATAATTATGTGCTGCAGAATCAGGAGCAAACGTCCCGAGTAAAAGAAGAGCCATATGACTGGAGTTTGGAACAAGTGGTGCAGCACCACCTTGCAGAATCAGAGGACGTCCTTTCCGAGAAACATAAACCGTGCGGACCACTGCCCACCTGCAGCACCCACTTCCAGAAAGACAAAAGCAAAGTATGGAAAAAATAAAATATCTGCAGTGTAATTGAAAAAAATATTTAAATATTTATTGTATTTTTTAGTCTGTAAAAGAAAACTTTGATGAAGACGAGCCGACGCCATTGGAATGCGAACAGTGTCACCAGGTTTTCCCGCACGCCGCCCAGTGGGTTCGCCATCTGAAGATCCATCCGCCCGTAGCCGAGCCCCTGCGACCAGCCAAACCACAAGCGGTGCATCAGAAACTCCTTCCGAAGGGAATGCCCCACGAGCGGCATGAACGGCGGATCAAGTTGGTGACCAAGAAGATGCGCATGAACCGCACCGACCTCGAAAGCAGTTCCTCGCGGGCGCGGCGACCGCACTCTTGCTACAACTGCGGCAAGCGGTTTTCCTCGCGCGCCTCCCTCTGCATCCACAGCCGGACGCACACAGGCGAGACGCCCTTTCGGTGCGACCTATGCGACAAGGGCTTTAACGTCAAGAGCAACCTGATGAGACACCTGCGCACCCTGCACAACCGAATCATGACGCCGAGTCCGACGTACATGGAGGCGCCGACTCCGTGAGACGTCTGCAAATCCCGAGCTTTGAATTTCAATGTTTTCCATGGGCTGCACTAATTTTTTTCTCATTCATTAAATAATATGTGCAAATTTCATTGCTGTACTATTTTTGTGGCTAACTTAATAGATTTTGTGTCTCATGCTTCATATTGCTCAAAATGTTTGCGCTGGATGTAGTTCCTCCTCCGATTTTCAGCTATCTAGCTCGCTAAGTGGTATTCGTGTCAAACTGACTTATAGGATTAAGATAAACTGATCTCATTAACCTGTCTTTTCGCTGTACTTAATTAATAGGGTTCTGGATTTTTCTATCTCTCTTTGTGCCGACATCGAATTTGGCTGATAATCAAAAGTGGAAAAGATTTACTCTAAATGCATGCAGAAATTTTTATATTTTTAATGTGTACCTGCATTAGCTGACTGTAGTCTGGTTTCAATAAAGAATCATCTCTCTACAGTGGAAGCGTATTTTTTATTTATTCATATTGTTACGTAAGACTGTACGAGTACACATTTAAAATTAAGTTGCTCGAATGGAAAGGCATAATAATTAAAATAAGATGATGGGGGAAAGATCGATCAATAGCGTAGATACCTGCAGTCGATGGTTAGTTTTCCTCGTCATCGATCTTTGGTGCCAAGTAGTAGCGGACGTGACCAATTTCTCCAATAGCATATTCGACAACAAGAGGAACATCGGCAGACAGAGACAGTTGAACCTGTCAATCACGAAACAAGTAATTAGAATATGTCAAATGAAGAGTTGAAATTTTAATAAAAAGATAATTAAATTTTAAAATACATTCTAAAGACTAGAATAAATAATTTTAAAACACCAAGAACAATTTTAATTTAAATAAATCACAAACCACAGAGGAAAGAGGAGTGGCCTTGGTGAAGTGGTTGAGGTAACGGCAAGCAAAGGTCAGTGAGACGGGCTCCTGCATCTCGATCGTGACAGCTTCCTCCTCCTTATCAACATTGGCAGTCTGCGCCAACTTAACATTGGCTGTAAATAGATACAATTAATTAAAATCAAATTATTTAGGCAGCCATTTTGCATTACCAGATCCGACAGTGCCAGATGATGAGAATTTAACTCCCTCCTTGGTGCACGCAATGACGACGGACTCGCCAAACTGGCTCAGGTCACGGCACACGCGGGCAAACTCGGCCGAGGGCATCCTGACCTTGCAAGCGTACTCCGTTTCCTGAGAGGATTTTTGTTAATAAATCGAAAAACAAATCGGCACAATCAGAAAGCTTACGGGAATTCCAAGATGTTCCTGGTCCAAGTTCATCAATTTCATCTCATACTCGGAAACCTTGCCCTGATCCTGAGACTCGAAGACAAAGGTGACCATGTCAGCGTTGTCCTGTGCCCTCATGATGAGAACGTCGTCGTTGCCGGCGCACTTAAGGATCTTGGTCATGCTGCAAATTGATTGGCAAGAGGTGAGCGATTTTCATTTCAATTTATTCGATTTCAAACGAACCTGGTCAGGTTGATGCCCATGGCAAGGTTTCTATCACATCTGTATTTGTCGAATCCGTCGCTTCTTAGACTGAGGGAGACGAGACTGACGTGGGAATTGTCCATTGCCTGCAGTTGGATGCCCGAGTCGGAGCAGTCGAAGGAGGCTTCGGAGATCAGGTCTTTGATGGCCTCGATGACCTTTTTCAGGATGGAACTCTGCGCGAGCTTGGCCTCAAACATGATGGCTACTTTTCCGGACGAAATCAAGAGGTTTAAACACAAATTGAGCGGATAAAATCCGTCGACGAAGCAGATCGGTACGAGAGAAACAGACTCTTGCAAAAAGTACCGAAAGCGGGAAAATCAACACAAGACTGGCGGGAATGTGGCGCGTAGTTGCCGGTGTTGCCACATCGGTACGCAACCAAGAGATTTTGGCTTGGCAACAGTGGATTGTTTTGTTAAGTGACAAAACATAAACATTTCCGTGCCCACTAGATACTGCTAGATACGTTTACTGAAATTACTGAAATATGTTGCAGTTTTAACGTCTGTATTTCGTTTAAAACCAATAATTTAAGAATGGCTTGTAACGTGGAAAGCAAGGAAAATTCCATGATGGACTCCGTCAACGATGTCGAAGATTTGCATTCTTTGTCGCAGCGACTGGAAGAGCAGTTTTCATTCCTTGTGAGTTTTTTGCACAATTTATAATTAAACAATTTTTACTTCTTCCTCGCAAATAATCTGAATTTTCGTTTAAAATTTTCAGCACCAGCACGAAGCTTGTTCAGTTTGCTCGGGATATTATGGCCCGTGCTTTGGAGAGCCGATGTGTGCAACTTGTCATGCATTCTTATTTCCGGACGATCTGGGACGTGCTGAAGCCATGCCAATGTGGGACAGTTGCGTAAGTTTTTTTTTTATTCCTTCTTTTTAATGTAATTTCAACTTATTTTCCATGTCAATTTTTGTTCAGAAAAAGGACGACGGGGATTCTGGCAATGATGAGCCCAGTGATCCTTATTACAGCAGCATTGAAAGACGCTGCAGTGCGATGGCAGCTCAGGGCCCACCCGCAGCACCTCCTGATCCGTCACCTTCACCTCCACCTCCTGCAGATGCAGCTATTCCTCCACGACCACCTCAACAGTAATATTTTCAAACATAAAAATTAATCAAATCCCAAATAAATGTACTTGCTTTTATTAAGGCCTGTGGATAGACTTGCTGAAAGACTGGAACTGCTCTCAGCTCCCAGAGACCCTGAATACATGAGTCCTGGATTTATAGACAAACTTCCACCTGAAGGTATACCATTTGATCCAAGCTAATTTTATCTTCTAAAAAAAAATTAGTGTTGCTTGTTGTGTTCAACTATTTGGACGACCTATCGTTATGCGCTGTGAGCAACGTTTGCCGCAGATGGAGAAGACTTTTGGAAGCTCGAGTCACCAATCAGCAGTGGAAGCTGTACACAGAAAACCGCTGGCCCCTCTTCACTCCACTCTTTGACATCGAAAACTGGTCACTTGCGTACAAAAAACTGTAATCGATTGAAATTTCTAAAAACTTAAAGATTTTAATTTTATATTAACTCCAGAGTTGCAAGTGCTCCCTGTCAACTCTGTCTGCAACAAATGGCAGCACAGTGCCAGCCCAGTGGTCAGGAGAACTCGTGGCGGAGGCATCGGCTTCGGACGGAGATAAAGAGTGAGATTTTTGTCATTATTTGAAATTTTTGTAATTGTTTTGTTAACTAGGCATGCGCCAAGATCCTCAGGAGGGTATACAGGCGATTCCTCTTGATAGAGGCTGTTGCCACTGGATTGCTTCTATTCTTGGCCCTCAAGGATCTCCTTACTCCGGGGGAATATTTTACCTGTATCTTCAAATACCCTACAGGTATTTATTTACCAAAGTTGTGAAGAAAAATCTAAACTTTTCATTTTCAGCTACCCCATGCATCCTCCGTTGGTCAGATTTGTGACCAAAATCTTTCATCCTAATGTCTCGAGGCATGGTGACGTTGGAATAGACCTGATTCACCACAACTGGTCCCTTGCAATGACTGTGGTCAAGGTTTTAATATCAGTGCAGAGTCTGTTGACCGACCCATTTTGCCAAGTGAGATTTTATTTTTCAACTTAAAATCATCAATACTGATTGATGTTTTGTTAATTTAGGTCTGTATGGAGCCCAAAATCGGTGATCTCTACCTGAATGACAAAAAGAGTTTTGAGCTTATGGCCCGGAACTGGACTTGGAAATATGCAATGCATGATGCGATCATCCCGAGTGCTGATTAGCCAGAGAAGGTAGGAAAATTTAATATTTCTTTTGGATTGGGTAATTAAAGTATTATATCGTTAATTTTTCTTAAAAAAAACCTTTATTTAAAATGATTAGTAATTTTTGATATAATAATAGTATCCGTCGTCGTCAGAGCTGCGTTCCTGCACCACTTGTTTTTCTTCGGTTTTGTAGCTAGGGTAGTATCTGTTGTTTGAGCTAGTCGAGTAAGCGAAACTGTATCCCTTGTACTCTTCCTTGGACTCGTCCTTTTTCTGCTGAGCGGCTTCAGCTTTAACAGGCTGCACCTTCACACTCAGCATTTCCTTGGGCTTCTCCTCCTGTTTTTCCTTTTTCTTCTGCTCCTGCTGGGATTTGAAATAGAAGTCCCTGAAAGCCTCAAAGATGGCTTTTTCATTTTTATTCTGCTCATCGTCAACTTCGGCCGAAGATTTCTTGGAATTCTCTCTCACTTGTTCTTCATCGTCAGACTCCTTTTTGCTAGGGAAGTTGACTTGATATTTTGGTTGCTCTTCTTTTTTATCTTCACCCTGAGCTTGGCCGTTTCGGAAGCCAAATTCGCCGTAGCCAAAGCCCTTGAAGAAACCGTGCTGTCGCGACTCGGCCAATGCCAAGTCCTCTTGAGCATGACTCAGACCAATGGCCTGCAAAAGAAACGAAATGATAACGTGACCTCTCTGTAATTAAAAAAGAGGACATTAACAATAAAAAACTTCGCACTGGAAATGTTTTAGGGAAGTCTTGTCCGATAAGAACAGAGGCCATTAAAAAAACAGGTCAAAGCGGGATTTTTTTTCAAAGGGACAACAAAATAAATAATCAACTGTTGATTGAAACATTTATTTGCAACTGAAATGTAATAATTGATACTTACCAGGAGAGTGATGAGAAGTGCTGGCAGATGCATGGTGATCGCTGTGATCAAGTTTAATGTGTTTAAAACTTTGCTTCTCTTTTATAAGTGCTCCTCCTTCTGCTCTGCCAGAAGAGCGCAGCTGCATCACCTCCTCCGGTGCACTTTCCATCTCGAATTTCGATGCATTACCAATGCATTACTTTTAGTTTAAATGATGCCTCAATGCTATGTGGGGATTAATTGGCATTGAAATGAAGAGCGAAAATTCCAAATTTATTAACTCTTCTGTCGTTACTACCTCGGTAGAAATCGACTTTCTTTCAATGAACAGGAAAAATTTGATCAAATTCTTACGCGTATAGGCAGAGCAATTTTTTAACTCGGCCCTCGCATTGAACCGGTTTAAGCACTTTCGACTGTTGACACTACTAATGACGTTGCCCGTGCGCATATGTACCGCGTCTGTGAGTGTGAATCTATTTTTATTTTCCAGAGAAAGTTACAATGCTCGCATTTACGTTCAATTAATTTGCTTAATTTAATTTATTAGTTATTTTTTTAGAATTTTGTAAAATTTTAAAAATTAAAATATCATGCATGTGTTGCAATAATTGTTGGAGCGCAATTAAAAGTTGTCTCGGAAAAAGGAGAAGGTTCCACCTTTTCCTTGACGTTCTTTTTTGATAACGCTGCTGGACAGCCGCGACACTTGGTATCAAAAGCTCAATTTTGTTGCGTGTTTGCCTGATACGAGTCAGTATTTAAACCCGGTTGCCCGACAACAGGTTGAATAATCAGCCAAAATGTCCAGAGGAAGAAGGTTCTCGACACTTTTGTGTGTAAGTTTTAGCCAGCACAATATTTCCCTTTAATTATTATATATGACGGGAAATATTTAAATTATTTTAAAACATTCTTAAATTAAAAAAAAAACTGCAGCTCCTGTTGGGAGTTACTGGTGGTACGCTGGCCAGACCAGGGACAAAAGAGGTATTTCCAGTGGTCCTCATGTCCCGCGATGAGCCATCCGTGGCCAAAGTACCTGAAGCTTTGCCGTCTACAACCGAAGCTGGAAAGGCAACCGTTCAAGACGGAAAAATTTACCCTCTCTACCCAGGCGGTGGTGGATATCCGGGATTAGGCGGTGGTGGCTACCCTGTTCCTCTACCGGGAGTTGGTTACCCAGGAGCTGGATATCCTGGAGGTGGTTATCCTGGAGGTGGTTATCCGGGTGGTTATCCTGGGGCTGGATATCCAGGGGCTGGTTATCCAGGCGCTGGATATCCAGGAGGTGGTTACCCAGGAGGCGGTTATCCGGGAGGCTATCCATACCCTGGAGGCTATCCGTACCCAGGAGGCATTCCTCCGATTGCTCCGCAGTATCCTTACAGCCCTTATTATGCGCCTTACAACCCTTACTGGGGCAGAAACAAGCCGGCTGGCGGATCGCCAGGTCAAGTTCAACAGAGTCCTCCTGAACCTGTGCCCAATGAGCAGCCGAAACCAGTTAGACGATAATTGTATTTTAAGAAAGCACATTTTTTGACAAGATTGATGCACCTTCATTTTTTCCTCATTTATATTTTATTAAATAATTACTATATTATATTATGCATCTGTAACAAAGTGTATTTTTGTTTTAATTTAACAATAAATTAGCTCGTCAAATCTGACGAGTATTTTCTTCGTTTGACATTGGTGTAGCGTTTTCATAGATATATTGACAAAAAAGAGAAACAACAGATATGATCCGAGATATGAAAGAAACTTGAAGCACAATAAAATCAAAATTGAGATCTATCTAATAACTTTTTGCCATATAAGAATTTTTTCACAATCGTCTTTATAAAATTGAAATGTTTTTTACTTCTTGAAAATTTAAAGCATTTTAAGAATTTGATCCGCAGAAGTTACTGGAAAATTAAATAATTTAAAAAAAAATACCAAAGAAATTTCAAGTTTTTGAAGAAATATAAACAATATTAATTTAACTGAGCAAGATATTTCCACGTCAGCCTTGGTTTCAAAAACCTCTTTGCAACAATTATTTTTTTAATTAAGAATGTTGCTGCACGGCTGCTGGACGTAGTTTAATGCAAAACCTCTATTTGACTGGTCGTTTGGAAACTCGATGTTGTTTGTGTGGTAGATGATTCGGAAGGGTTTGACCGTGCCTGTGGAAAAATTTGATGAATTACGAAGTTTTGCAAATTTTTAAATCCGGTCTTACTGAAAACTGTGGCAGGCACCGTGGAGACCTCGGAGTTGAAGGTGCCACCGCAAATACGGTCAGTACACGTGGGCTCGATGCTCGGCGCCCGACCTGCGTTGGCCGCACAAGGGATGATGATCCAGTCGCCGTTGCACGAATTGGGTCCCACGGAGCCCACCATTGAGGTCACCTGGTTCTGGCCTGTCGTCTGGCCGCTCAAACTGAACGACCTTGACCTGTTGTTCACTGAAATTTAATTTTAAATTTTGAACGTTGCTTATTAAATTGAATTTTCACCTGGGTCAGGGGCAGTGATGTACTGGATGCCGCAGAAGTTTCGCTCCATCCTGATGCAGATGCTGTAGTCCTGGTTGCTGAGTTGCAGGCCCATGCCCGAGTCGTAGTTGAAGGACCGGATTTGGCCGGTGACGCCGGTGTAGTACTGCAGGCAGCCGTCCTCAGCCTTGTAATTGCTCATGCAGGGGATTTGCGAGATTCGCACCTTCCAGTTGCGGGGGAAGGCTGGGCCTGAGGTCACGAAGGTCAGGGTCACTGGACTAGTGTAACCAGCACCAGCATCAACGTACACTGAAAGTGAAAGAATTTTTTAAATAAATGCATTTAAACATGTTTATTAAAATACGTAAAATAAATTCAATTTTCTTACTGTGGTTTCCAGTGTTGGTTCCGCAAATCGCTGGAACGGGACTGCCTCCGGAGACAATAAACTGATCATTACTGCAGACGTGATTCACTATTTCCGGCCCTCCAATCATGAACTGATCAAAATCAAGTCTGGAAATTAGATTAAAATTATTTTATGCCATTTTTTTTAACAAAAGTAAAATAATATGATAATTTCAAACTCTCACCTCAGTTGGCAAATGTCAGGGTGCCTCTTATGAATGGTCAGTTGGCAAGATCCGGTGCCATCGTAAGGTCCAGGGTAGCCGCTGTTGACAAAGTAGGTGGAGTTCTGGAAGGTCGTTTGGCCGCAAGTCACAATGACTGTAACAGGGAAATTAAAAAATTTCAAGGTTCTATTTTTTAGATAAAAATTGCATAAGTGCTTACACACGCAACACACTCCAAAACCACCAGCGCAAGGACCGCTCGCCACTCCGCCTCGATCGAGGCACTCGCGGGCCGCAAGACAGGTGCCGTTGTCGCCAGAGACGGCGCCGCACTCGAGGTTCTCAAAACGCACCACAGAAAATAGCGACAAAACTGTAGAAAAATTATAAAAAAATATGAATTAAAAAGAGAACAGGATTGAAATTAGTAGACTTCCCTATAATTAATTCAATTCTATTGAGTTTAAATTTGATTACCAAATTAATAAAAGATCTTTTGATATAAAAAATGTGATTTGTTACATTTTTATTTAAAAAAAAAAAAAAAATGATTTTATTTTGCAATATAAAATTAAAAATTTTGTTCTTGTGTTTTAGAATCTTTACTTACATCTGGACTGCCTGGTTGGATTCGGACTTCCACTTGGCGATTGTTGCTTCTGCTGGGCAAAAGGTGAACGCTGCCTTCTGTCCACTGGTCTGGAATTGCCCGCCGGCGGCGTCAAAAAGCTGACTGGCGATTCAAAATTGTTGGACGGCGCTGCCAGGTAGTCGTCCACGTTGACTTTGTGTCTCAGTCCCTTCTTGTTGTGCCCGCGGAAGAACTTCTTGGGCCGATTGTGGTCGTTGGGACCGAGCGAGGCGGCGGTCGCGCATGACACGACCAGCACGAGGGCTGCCAAAGCGGTCAAGCCCGATCTACGCATATTTCTAAATTTGAAACTTTTGATTTATGATTAAATTTTGCGAGTGAGATGTGCGAGTCTGATGGCACCAACGAACTGACTGCAACATGCGTGAGGTGCAGGTGAGTTTTATAGTGTCGCATTCATGCTCGGATGGCCAGCGTTCATTGCTCCAGGAGACAATGCGACACCCGCCAGTGAAAACGCGTTTAATTGTCTCAAGTGATAACGCACCAACTTTCCAGTGTGATAATAATAGTGAATGAGATGAATGCTCCGCTCGGGACAAAGGGGAAAGTACTTTTGTCTTTTAATTTTGTCATTTTTGGGGTTCCTCTTTTTGCATATTGAATTCCGTCAGTTGATTGATGACCGGTATATTTTTTTCAATGAGGAAGTGCAGATATAAATAATATAGTGCAGCACATTGTTAGTTCTCTCTCCAAGACATTTAATGCTAATTTGTGTTTTTTACTTAATTGTTAATTGAATATTATTGGAAATAAAAAAAGAGGACCATAATTTATCACAATCTAATTAAGTTGGTTTATTTCACCTGCGCATAAAAATTACTTAAAGAAATTAACAAGAATAAAACATTTTTAAGAGGTTTTTACGTGGATTTACTGAAACTGTGCGAGAAACACTTGGCTTTAAAGAATGGAATATACAAACCAAAATTTTGACTTTTAATTGAGAAATTAATTTTTAAAATGTCTCAAAAATTAATATTTTTGAGTCACAAAAAATCAAAATTTCAATTAAAACTCGGAAAATTAGGGTAAACAGAGCAACATAACTGGTCTGGATCGCGATTTCGCCCAATTCCAAAATTAATCCCTGAAACTGCTTTACACTTTACAACACAAACAAAACACTACTCTACACTAATTTTAACAGAAAAAACACACGCACACTAACAATTATCTGAGAAGAATAAAACATTATATTAAAAAAAAGTCTTATATTTGTAACATAATTACATATTATTTTATGAGAATGAATCAATATTCCCAGTTCTCGTTGGAATTAATGTGATAAAAAAGGAAAAAAAAGCAAACAATATATTACAAAAATTAATAATTTAATAATTAAAAATATAATAATAATAATATATTATGCTGCTAAAAATATTTGAAAAATATTATTCATCTCTATTTTTTATTATGTTATGTTGTAGAAAAAACGCACTCTATAGGATTTCATTATAAATATAATAATAATAATTCTTTTTGATTCTTTTATTGAACGCTCACTTGTAATAATAATACGAATTTTTCGATCCCCGCCAATCCGATTTGAAAGCCCATCCTGCTTCCTGCTTGAATGAGGCGGAGAGGAGCGGCCCTTTGTTTGTTTACATTGGAGATTTTTTGTTGTGAGAGCTGCCATGCGATTATATTAGCTGCGGAAAATTGATACTGCTATGCTTCGAAATTAAATTAATTAGGTAATACGTTAATCAAATATTGTATACGTTCATACCAAGGCTAAGCATTTTTATTATTTTAATTCAAATTTTCAAGCCTGTTTCAAGCAGTGTTTTTGCTTGCTTTTTGTTTAATATGGTTTGTATATTTTCTGAATTCACTCTTTAATTGTCAAAGCAACAAAATAAACACAGAACAAGCACATAGACCGTCTCATAAAACATATAATTGTTCAAATTAATTAAAAAACAATTTTTTTTCAGGGAAGATCAAACTTGAACATTCCGCAATGGACCCGATCGTTGTTAAATTTGAGCAGCTGTGCCGGATTTGCTGCTTCGCTTCCTCTGATACGGCCAAGCAGTCCTTCAACATCTTCCACGGAGCCTCCTCTGCAAGCATCCGAGAGAAAATCACAGCTTGTCTGCCCATTGACTTGAAGGAGGACGACGGCCTGCCCAAGACCGTCTGCGACACTTGCTGTAAAACGCTTGACGTCTTTTTCCAGTTTCGAACCACCAGTCTGGAAAACGAGTTTATTCTAAAAGATCTGGCTTCAAAGATCAAAAGCGAGGAAAACTCCGTTCCGAAAAATTCAGAAGACGTCCCTTTGGAAATCGCCGAGGAAGTGGAATGGGCGGGTGAAGAAGACAGGCCTTCACTCGACAGTGAAAGTGAAGAGCAGGAAGAAGAAGGTAAAGTTGAGGGCGAGCCAAGCGTAGTTCAAGTGCACCAGGAGGTCACTCAACAGAAAATGAAAGAGCTGGGCCTCGACCTTTGCAAATTTTGCAATCTGGTCTTTTTTGAACATGAACTCAAGGGCCACATAAAATCAAAGCACAAAAAAGAGCCTCCAAACAAAAATAAGGAACTGATTACGACTGCAGATTTTAAGATAAAGTCTGAAACTCTTTCCTGTGATTTTTGCACCGTAACTTTCCGATTGAAGGATCGAATGTTGGAGCACATCCTTACACACCTTGGTCAAAAAGCTTATAGGTGATTTTGCCAATATACAAATTTCTTAATTCATTTAATCATATTTGTTAATGTTTTAGTTGCGAATTTTGTGACAAACAATTTTCGAAAAGAGCCTGCTTAAGAAATCACTCGAAGAGACACACAAATATGTGGACTCACATCTGTAAATTTTGTGATAAAGGATTTGCGGAAAGTACTTCATTGAAATATCACGTTCGGAGTCAACACACCAAGGAAAAGATTTTTAAATGCGACAAGTGCAGCAAATCGTTCTACAAGAATCAAGACTTGAAGATCCATAAAAGACGAAACCACAACGACCAACCAGAAATATTTTCACAAGTATTTTTTTATTTATTCTGCTCATTATTATTATTAAAATTTTTTTATTTAGGCTTGCCCAACCTGTAAAAAGGTATTTCAAGATGATTACGCCCTCCGACTGCACCTGAAGACGCACATTCCTGTGGACGAGCGCCGCAAGTACAAGTGCAGTGAATGTCCGGCTGCATTTACAGGGACCTCTGGCCTGAAGCGACATAAACTTGTGCACACTGGAGAAATGCCATTTGAGTGTAAAATATGTGGTTGGAAAATGAGGACAAAACGAGGTCATGAAGTGCACATGATCAACCATTCAGGCGTGAAGAGTTACATGTGTGAAGTGTGTGGAAAAGCGTTTGCTCTGGACAGCACTCTGAAGGTGCACAAAAGAACTCACACTGGCGAAAAGCCTTACCGCCCCTACCCTTGCAAGGATTGTGGAAAACGTTTTTCGCAAGTGGGCTCGTACAAATTTCACTTGCCTCGGTGTGGTCAAGAGAAGAAAAAAGGAGAGACTGTCGACGGAAATGTTCCAAATGAAAAAATGTAAGTTTCTATAAAAATTTGTTTCACAATGTTTCATTATATTTTAATGCCTCTATTAAAATATTATAAATTTATTAAACTGTTATTCTGGATTGTAAAATAATCAAATCTGCTCGATCGTAAAATTACCATAATGTAAAAATTCACTTGCATAATTAAAAACAAAAACATTACTTTTGGAAATATATTTTATTTTCCATAAATTCTCCACTCAATTTCAGTTCTCAAAAGTTCAATCAAATTTCTTTTTCTTTTTGTCCATTTGGCTGATTTTCCGGAAGATCTCTTTCCTCAACACCTTCTCCCTTTTGAGCTTCTTGACTTCGTCCTTCTGCACTTTTGCCCTGTGCGCGGCCATCCTGAGAGACGTCGCCTTCTTCGACACCTCCTTCTTGTGGTCGTAGGTGGTCTTCAACCGGCGCATCAGTTCCAGCGCCTTCTGCTCGTGCTTTTCAAGCACCACAGCCACTCTCTGCGACTCGAGTTCTCTCTTTTTCGGATCCCTGATCACCTGAGATTTGGGCTTGTCCATGTAGGGCAGCTCCTTCTGCAGACTCCTGGGGATGACCAGCGGGGCCGGCGCCACCTCCTTCCTCACAATCGGCAGGTACATCGAGTCTTCCTGCGCTTGATTCCGGATTCCCTTCTCCCTCTTCAGTTCGCCCAAAGACTTGGCGCCCTTCCACGTCATCTTCTTCTCTTCTGGCAACAGCAAGGACGTCACTGGCGCGTAGTACTGTGGGATTTTCACCTGATACCACGTCCGGCAGAAAACAATATCACTCAGTAAGATCTTGTCCTCGAAAGTAGCCCTGAAGGTGCCTTCCGGTTTGCTGACAGCCTTTTTGATTTGACCTCTGATTCCCGAGACCGTCTTGATCCTGGCTCCTTCAAATTTGGCGATTTCTAAACTGGACGAGAACATGCCCTTGATGAATGCAGTCTTTTTGTAAATCTTCAACGGCGTGCCCACCAGTTTGAGTTTCTTCATCACCTGGGCGGTTTTGTCCAGCTCAAGGACCGTGCCGGTGGCCGCAATGCGGAATCCCGTTTGACGAACCGAGACGTCCTGGACGGCCAGAAAGCCGGCGCCCTTGGGCGAAATGGGACCCCAGAAGTGCGACAGACACGCCACATGCTGAGGGGTGTACTTGAGGTACCTGTTGCGCATGTTGTCCTCCTGCTTTGAGTAGAGGGGCAGCGTTTGGAAACGCCGCCAGCCCAGGGAGAAAATGAGCGGGTCCTTGGTCTTCAGGGTTTTGCTGAACCAACGGTGCCTCTTGCACCTGGCCTGGACGTAGCCAATGTTTTCCTCCCCGGGCATCAGACCTCCCAAAATAATGGGGTAGGTCGGGTCAAAATTTGCTATCAGCTCACAGGGCATGTTGGCCAGCTCGACGCGGACGTACATTCCAGGGCGGTAACCTTCGAGCTGGACGCGCAACTCATCGTCCATTCCTTCAAATTCTTTTTGATTGAGCTGCGCTTGCTGGCTCATTTCCTGCTTCAGCTCGTCGTAGTAAGTTTTGCCCCCGTCCTTGTCATCATACTCTGAGTCGAATTTTTCCTTCAACTTTTTCTTTTTCTCAATCAGTTTCTTCCGCCTCTCCTCGGCCGACTCGGGCATGCCTGGGTTTGCAGACACATGTTTTTCGCCTGTTTCCAGGTCTTCGAAATCGCCATCCTCGTCCAGATTGTCCATTTCAAGCAAATCGGCAGCGTCGTCTTCTTCTTTCCACTTGCCGGTCACAAAACAGTCTCGGATCAAATCCCGAACATGTTCAAGTTTCCAGTCTCTCTGATGCGTGGGATCAGGGAAGCGCGACACGTCTTCTCTGTTTCGCAAAGCCTTTTCCTCCACCTTCTGACCTTGCTCAAGGTTAACTTTGTGGAAGAGACCGCCGAGCTCAGCTGAATCTTCTTCGTCCTCTATGTCACTGTCGTCTTTGGCTAAACTCCTTTCTCCATACACAAGCTTCCTCAAACTGACCGTGGTTGCTTGTCTCTCCTGAAAAGATTAACAAATTTAATAGGCAAAAAAATTTTAAGTTGCCAATAGTTATTTCTACTGTTAAAAAATTTATACAACTAAATCATCTAATTTTTTATTTTTGTTATTATTATTGAAATTGAATTAGAATAATTACCTGGAATGCTAGGGCTGCTTTTTGCGCTAAATTATCCTTCCACTTCATGGCAGACCCCTCTGCAGTTTCATCGCCATCCATCCCTTCCAAATCTGACATCTCCTCATCCTGAAGGTCTTCGTCCTCCAATTCATCATCATCATTTTTTTCTTTCTGGGCTTTTTGATTGATTCTCGCCCTTGCTTGGTCAACAGCGGCCATGGCTTCTGCAACTTTGGCTCTTGTTTCTTCTTCTTTGCTTTTCAGCGGCCTTTTCGGTACAAATGCTGATTTCTCAACTACCTCATCAGCATTTTCCTCCTCATCTTCAACCGCCTGATATTCAAGATCACTCAAATCTGACAAACTGTCCTCGTCACTATCTTCACCAAGAGCTTGCAAAAGTTTCCTCTCGGCTTGAATCAATTTTTTCACTTTCTTGGCCGGAGGCTCTTCCTCTGGTTCATCACCTTCCTTTTCCACTTGAGCTTCTTTTGTCTTCCAAGGCACTTGTGATGGTTCTTCTCCTTCCTCCTCCTTCTGTTCGACCTCATCGTCCTCATCTTCTTCGTCAACATCCGACCACTCTTCTCCGGACTCCTGTTCTTCTTCCTCGGCCACCCCATTTTTCTCTTTACTCCAGTCAGAGGCCGTAATGGGCTCTGAAGTCGAGAACAGCTGCATCTGAGCGTGCTGCATTTTGTAGTCGACCGTCTGCTGCGTTTCAAGCAAACCACTGACCAGGTCGGTCTGCTCTGTGTCCGGTTGGTGGTGGTGCGAGTGACTGCCGGCCAGTTCAACATAGACGGCGTCTTTGTCGTACACGACGCCTCCAACCCCTGAAAACGGTGCGTAGATCAGCCGCTCCTTCTCAATGAGCACCCTTTTCTTGAACTTCTCTGGAAGGGGACAGGGATCAGGCAGGAAGGACACCTCGCTGATGGGGTGGTCACCGGACCCTGGAATGTGAACACTGCTCTTCTGGTTCAAGGGCACGCCTCGCACCCAGCCGTACAAGCAGAGTGTCCGGTCAACTTTTGGATTCTGGCGAACTTGTTCTGGAGGGGTGATGTCCTCAATGCGGTCGGCCAGAAGATAAGGGTGGGTCGAGCGCCAGGTCAAAGGTCGGAATTTCATCACCGAGATGAAACGTCCCAGATTTTTTATCTCATTACGCAGGTACTCTCCGTGCACCATTCCGGAGAGGTAGAACAATTTAGCGCCAGCGTAAACTTCAGTCCAGAAGCGGTGCTTCAGCTGCTTCTTTGTGCGTCTCAGGGTCTTTTGATTGGTGAACATGTCCAGGTGGGTGAGGACGCCCATGATTCGAGGCATGCCGTGGACTTGGCAGATGTTGAGGAACTCAAAGATTTCCATCTCGAAGCCAAAGCTGGCATCTACCATCAACAAGACAAGGTCAGCGACCTTAGCAAGGTCGATCATCGAGTTGATGTCGTTGTTGCATTCGACCAGGGTGATGCGACGCTTTTTGCCAGACACAATAGTCACTGGCCCTTTGATGCTGGTGAGAGGCTTTCGAGTGAAGTTTCGGATGAGACATTGAATCAGGGTGCTCTTGCCCACCTTTGGGGGTCCGACTACAGCCACCAAAATTGGAGGAGGGAGCAGAGCGCTTCGGTCTACTACTGGGATGTGCTGCTTCTTGGTCTGAATGTCCTCTTTGCGGCGAAACTGGCGCTCAGCTTTCACTGCCGAGTTGAATGTAAAGGCCTTCGGGTTGCGCTGTTTGTCGCTCAGCTCCTGGACGTGTGGATTCTTCTGCTTCTTTTTCTCAGCTTTACGTCCTGCATTTCGCTCTCTGTGCGCTTTTTTCTTGTCCTGGGACGCGGCGAAATCGTCTCCGGCCATATCTGTAATTTTTTAAATTAGTTTAGAAAATAAAGTTTCTCATTTTAGTGGGACTGACATTGTAACCATACAATTTTTTTAGATTTTATGCCTAAATTCCAGTAATAATATATGTAACACAAAAATATTTTTTCAGAATATTTTAATAAGAAGATGTTCGTTATCTTACCGGTCTCTTCTCTTCAATTAAAAAATTAAGAAATGGTCATTTTCTTCTTAAAGAAAGTTTTCCAGATTTTCGGCAGTCGTCGCAGTCGCACCATGTGGATTGTGGCCATGCCGTGCAACATGCCATGCGGTCGCATGCGGTTTGAGCAGTGTTACAACTTACGAGAGTTTCTCATTTTAGATTTTATAATTTTTCAGGTCCTCTTACTAAATTTTTCTAGTACATTTGTATTTAAAATTTATATAATCACATAAATTGGTTTAAATTATTATTAAACTTTGTTTTGACTTTCAAATAATGCGATCAAATACACGCATATTCTGTTGGCTAAAATGTTCTTATTTCTAGATGGGCGTGTCTATAAACAAAAATAATAAACACGAAGGTCACGAAGAGTTGATTGCGAGTGCATATGAATTAAATATGTATTAATTTCTTTAACCAGTCACGCACTTTGCCCTTCACTTAATGGACACATCAGCATTTTAATTGGAACTTCAGAATCTCTCTGGCTGGAGAAAAGTCAAGCTCGGAAAAATGGATAAAATATTTTGCCTAATTCCAATCATTTTGGTAGCTACCGGTTGGCTTTATTTTCTCACCCGACTTGCTCCTGAAGTTGAATTAGAGAAAGAGGTAATAATTTTTGGTTTATCGGAGAGAGTGAGAAAGATTTCATAGTTTTCAATATGATAATATTTTTGATTTTCCAGACAAAGCTGCAGTTTCCTGGAAACCTGCAGGAGCTCCAGGATGTTGCCAAATTGATGTCGGCTTACTACTCAAAAAATTGGTACTACGTCCTGGTTTTATTCAGCAGCGCTTACTTGTACAAACAGTCATTCATGATACCCGGTTCAGTTCTTCTGGTAAAATATTAAATAATTACCAAATGACCATTTTTGTGAACATCTTTATGTCAGAATGTGCTCGGAGGTGCTCTTTTCGATTTCACAATTGCGTTCCCACTCGTCTGCTTTCTAACTGGAGTTGGAGCTTCCTGCTGCTTTTTACTGGCCAAGACTTTTGGAAAGGACTTCATTCAAAAGAAATTTCCAAACAAAATTACTTGGCTGCAGCAACAAGTAATTTAATTTAAAAACAAAAATATTTTTAAATTATAAATTAATCAATTATTATAGGTTGACCAAAATAAAGAACGACTGCCGTACTACTTGCTTTTCCTCAGGCTCTTCCCAATGAGCCCAAACTGGCTGATAAATGTCTTGAGCCCCATGGCTGGAATTCCTCTGTCTCTCTTTGCTTTGACAGCTACAATAGGTTTGTTCTAAGAAATGAAAAAAAAAAAAAATACGGAATAAATAATCTTTTTAGGTCTGATGCCTTATAATTTTGTCTGCGTGCACTCTGGGAAAATGTTGGCCAGTCTTAAATCTCTGGACGATTTGTTTAGCTTTTCTACACTTGTGCAAATGGCCATTCTTGCTTTGGTGGCTCTAGGGCCAAGCATGCTGGTCAAGAAGACTAGTTTTACACAGCAAGCAAAGCACCAAAAAGTTGAATAAATTGTAATGTTCCGACATGTTTATCTTATACTTTACGTGGACGAGCAAGACTGCATTAATTTAATTTTGTATGTGAAAGTGTGATAATATAATGAAATTTGGTGTTCATATAGACTAAATTGACTTAGTAATTAATTCAATTTTAACACAAATAAAACCCCTTAAAGATGCTGCAAAAATATACTGAAAATCAACAAGTTTGATAAAAAGCATAGTAATGTGCTATGTGCTGGATATAAATTAGTATGTGAGTATGGATTTTTAGATGGACTTCATTTGATTCATCAACTCCTCCAGACTTTTTTCCGTTTCCTGGACAGACGAGGCACTCTCCGTTTCGGTAGCAGCAGCTGGAACGGTGTAGGCCAGTTTGATCCCTATGGCCACTTCTTTTTCTTCCGGTTCTGTGTCCGGCTCGTTTTCTCCAACAAGACTTATTCCTAAAAACATTTATAAAAAATAACGCTCAGCCCTCCGGCTAAGCAATTTTTTAAAACTCGTTATTACCCCAATCATTGTCTTCGTGGATCACTTCCTCCTCTTCTTTTGTGGTGGATTTTGTCGGAGTGCGTGGCCTGTCTTTCATTTCTAGCTGCTTGGCTCTACAATGAGCATCATCACAACTTGAATTCGGTTTCAGTCGCATGGTCGGGAAAAAGTCCTGCATGGCCGAGTAGCCCAAATAGTACGACACTTCTCCGAAACCAAGCAGTTTTCTAAAAATTTAAACAAATTATGCTTTCTAATTAATAATTGATGGAGAGCCTCACTTTAAGCAATTCTGAGCCAACATTCCAGCGACAATTCCCATCGTCGTGGGCAAACTTGCGGCACAGACACCCTCACGCTTCAAGGTTTTCTCGTCAATTTGAGAGGCAACAACTAATGGAGGAGCGCACTAAACAAAAAGAAAATCACAAAATTATTTTAGACTAAAAATAAAATTCTCACAGCAAAGCAGGCGGTGACTCCAGGAATGATGAGTTGGATGTGTCCGGAAACGGCATTTTCTGCAACCCCAGATTCGTACCAGGTCTGGCCCAGCTCATTGCAGGCCGTGTTGATGGCCATTCTTGCTTCGTAGTTGTCCACGCAGCTCAGCACAAGATCGACTGGTCCGCCCGTCAAGCTGCCCTGGCTAAGATATTACAAATTGTAGAATTTATAATCATATAGAATTACATTCAAACAATTCCTACATACTTGATGATTTTGCAGAAGTTGTCGAAATTTTCAACCGTGGTGATGTTGTAGTTGTACGTCTCGATTTGTGTGTCAGGGTTGATGCCCTGAAGAGTCATGGCAGCTGCTTGCACCTTTGACATGCCAGCCTGGTCAGGCGTGAAAAACAGCCTGTTCATGTTGGCCAGTTCCACTTTGTCGTAATCAAACAAGATGAGCTGGAATTAAAAATTATATTAGAGATTTTTGATTTAATTTGTATTAACTGGACAAATAGGGCAGGATCAAGTTTTTTTTTAAATTAAAAGGATAAATTTTGAATTTTTACATGAAATAATTTATTAAATAAATTTTACCTTTCCAACTCCACATCTGGTAAGCATTTCAGCAGTGACACTTCCGACACCTCCAACACCAACAACGGCCACAGTCATCTGTCGGATTCGCTCGTAATTTTGGACAACACCCATTCTTTGCAGTGCCATCAGGCGGCTAAAATAGGGAATTTTAATTACATTTTCAAATTTTAAGGGTAAAAATTGCAGAGATATACAATTTGCAAAATAAACTCTCACCTGTAGGGATTCGAATCGACGACTTCAGCAGACATTTGGCTAATTTTCTCCCTTTTCGAAACGGACCCTTCATTTTTACGCTTCTCGTGCTCAAGAAGCTCTTGCGTTTCTTTCAATTTCGACTCTAATCTCTGGATTTTTAATTCTAAATCATTACCAGACATAGTGACAGCTTTCGACCTCGCTGCTCTCTTTCCAGCTGTCAAAACAGAACGAACCGCCTGGGCTTGGCGAAAACGTGTCACACTCCTTCTTGGTCACACTACGACTGATGTTGCCAACTTAACGTGGAATCCAATTTTTCACATGGATTTATTAATTAATAAATCCATGAATTTTCAGATGATATTAAATTAATCAATTGCAAAAAAAAAAATTATGGCACTATAATTATTAAAACTAAGCCAGCTAAGCCTACTTGAACTTTTTTGCTACCAAATTAATTCTACGTACTTTTGTCAGTTTGAAATAAGAAACTCAAAAAAAAGATAGAGAAAATAATTTTGAAAAAATATATAGAAACAAGTTAAGTAAAATGCGGTAAACAAGCAAACTTTTTATTTTTTTACAGCTCTTTTTTATAACATATACCAGCTGCTGTGAAAAAATCGCGTTTTATAATAATTTCATTATGTTAATTATCGTTAATTAAATCAATTCGACTGCAACAATTCCACTGAATTGCAATAAGTTTAAAAATGACAAATTCCATAATGTGAGACAAGAACACCTTCCTATAAAAATTGGCATCGAGGATATTGTTAGGGTTGCTTTGCGCCCAACACTTCATCTCCAAAACCTTCAAGGGCTGAGGTTTCTTTTATTGAATTACAAAATTTACAAATAAAAGTATACTTTGGTTATTAAGTTCACAATTTAAAACTTCTATAAATAATGTGAAATAAATTTTTATAAAATTGCCATTAGGCTTGTCCCATTGTGCAATTTTGAGGAAACCAAACAACAAAATCCTAAGTTTTAATACTAAAAAAATAACCTGTTGATAAATTTTGGGAGTTTTTAGGTCTGCCAAAGCCCGTAGATGACATATTATATATTTTTCCTTTTAAGAGACTCGACTCTATTTACAAATGATTGCATATTGTATGCATGTTAGAAGGTATGTTAAGAACAAAAGTATCCTACTCTTGGCTCTTGCTGAGCCTCTCGTCGAGAATGTGCTGAATTTTCCGAACGACGGCCGTAGGCTTTTTGGCAGGCGAGACATCTGTGTTTGCTTCTTCAGTGGTCTCGGTATCGTCTAAGTTAATGGTGCGCTTGCCAAGCATAGGCACAGGTGAGCTCACCAACTTATTGATTTGCCTCAGAGTCTGAAATGCAAAACAAAACAGAATTAGCAAAACCAGAACAATTTTTGCACTAAATTCTAATAATTTTAAATTAAAAGATCACTAAAAAAAAAAAACAATTCTTACATCATTGGGACTTCTGCTGAATAAATATTGCAAGGTTCCAGGTGCTTTGATTGGAGAGTCAACAAGACTGGATCTATCCAAGGTGCTGATGTAGATTTTGTTACCGTTTATTTGCACCTTCGGTGACATGGGGGCTATTTTGGGGGTAGGCAATGGGGACAGCAGCAAGGAATCCTAAAATGTCAAGTATGAACAAAAAAATTCAGATAGCATTTTTTTAATTAAACTTACTGGGTTGGCCGAGTCGGAGAATTTTACAGAGAAATTTCGCATGTGCTGGACGTAGACGTTGTTGTAGAAGATTATGAGATCACCCCTCTCCTCAGACCCGTCTTCTGTTAATACAAAATATTTTTTAAATCTATATTGAAATTTTCAAGCTGTATGTTTACCTCTCCTTCGGAGCAAGACTTTTCTGTACACGTGAGACGCTGACTGCGGCAGGTCTCTATAGTGATGCATTATTGTTCGGAACTCCCTGTTTTGACTTGTGACTTTGCAAACCACATATATGGCACACATTATAAGTTGGTCCAAGTGGCGGTCTCTGAGCAAGGAATAGGAGTGATGTGTGATGGAGAACTCGAGATTGGTCCAAATTTTCTTAACGTCTTCTTCACCAAGGTTGAGCATTTTGCAAAGTGCCTTCAGTCTCGTCGAAGCAAGGTAATAGAACTGACAAATAAAATTTATAAATATGACATTGATAAAATTACTGCCTTCAAAGTACCTTTCTGAGGAACATTGCAAGCGCACCAGTTACTTTTGGTTTGGAGCCATCTCTGGAGGATTGTCCTTGAATGATGACGTTGCCTCCACTCTGTACGGAGATCGGGATATATCTTTGGCCATCACCTCCTTGGACAGCTACAAAAAAATTTATAACTCAAATACCTGAAAAGAACTTGCAGAAAAGGAAAACTTACTGGCAATGTTGATCGCCACTCGAGCACCAGTGGAAGTCGTCAGCAAACTTTGTCCTGATCGGGCTGAGATTAGAATTTCACTTGCCAAACAAACCAAAGGTTTAATCTATACTAACCACTGATAAGATTTCTGATGGGCGAACCAAGGTTCGAGCCAGCAGGGGACAAAAGCGCTTGAATGCCGTCATCATCAGGCAGCTTAACCTCCTCGTAAGTGGGTAGCGGACTTCCTTTGAGAGCATCTATTGCCTTCCACAACGGACTTGACCTGTTCCATACGAAGCTCTCCAGAATTTGCTCTTCGATCTGATTTAAAATCTTTTTATATAAGCTTATATTGTTTTAATTTAAACCTACAAATTGCAAGTTTTTGATGGTTCCGCGGGACAATTTGTCAAGAGTTGCTATGACAACAACCTCAATGACTTTGTAGAAGTAGTACGGCTCCAAGTCGAGAGTATCAAGGATCCAAGGGAATTTGCGTTGACTGTTGTATGAGAAAAGAACCACCTCCAGGCAAACAGCAAAGAGGGCTTTCTGGCACAAATCATTCTCCAACAGAGCCTTTCGTGAAATAAAACTTGATTAAAAAAATTTTTGAAAAGTTTAAGATGAACTTACGGGAATTCCACCATTGCCCTTTTTCTGTTGCTCGTCAAGAGTGGTTTGTTCCAACAGCATGTAAAACAGTGTTGTTCCAAGTTGAAGGCGCTTTTTGGCAAACTCAATGTGTGAACCTGGAATTTCCTTTGTCTGCCTAGTATAGGCAGTGATGAAATGTTCGCCCATTTTGGAAATCCTTTTCTCAATTGCAGCTTGAGGATTTGTTGGGCATCCGTCATAGATTTTGTTCAGAGTGGCGCTCGGCTTGGCTTCTCTGCCTTTCAGCATGGCCTGCAGCTTGATGACAGCCTCTATAGCTGTTGAAATAGGAGAGACTCGTGGATTTGTTTCCGTTTTGCCTAAGTAATGGCCAGTCAGGGGAGTCTGAAATCAATTTAAATTTAAAAATGGAATACGCCATTGTTTTTTATATTCACCATTTTTGTAAAACTGCTCATGCCGGGAATTCTCCAGTTCTGCATGCAATCGTTGACCTCAAACAGTTTCGTAGGAGATCCGACCTCCAGAGTGAACTCTTCTTCCGAACCTGGTGCGATTTATTTATTATTAATTGAAACAAGAGGAAATCCAAATATCGTACTTAAGAAGGCGCGCTCATCAAAGTCACCCTTGTTCAGAACAAAATCTTCATATGCTTTGTTAACAGCTTTGAAGTTTGCCTCAAAGGAAGTCGGCTCAAGAAGTCCACTGCGAGCTCCACCATCAGTAGGTGCGTTACCACGCAAAATCTAGAACGGAAAAAATAGCGATTCACAGCAATTGTAAAATTATTTTAAAAATTACCTCCTTTTCAAAATGTTTTTCAATCAGCTTATTGAACCAGTAGCTCTGGATTCCCTCGGCCTCGTGCAATATTCCGTCATGGCTGCGGCAGAGTTCAGAGAGAATACTGGGAGGCTCATCCGGAACTTCGTAATCAGTTTTAAGGAAGTTATGAGGAAGGCCTGTGAATTTTACCTCAGTAATGCAAAAATATTTTGATGGGAATAAATTACCCATGAACTGAGGATTGATGAGATCTCGACGGTCTGCAAGAATGGAGTTGCCAAAAACAAAGTTGAGGCAGACCAGAAGAAGGTGGTACGAATTCACAAGATCATCCAGAATGTCTGGAATTTCTGATTTTGAGCTGACGAACAGGGTCCAAGTGAAGTCAAACACCTGAGCAGGAGTGCACGGCGCGTTCCTAATAGAAAATAAATTATTGTGCAAGGAAAAAATATTCCAAATAATTACTTTGGTTTTCTCGGCCTTGAACCCTTCTGATTTTCGTTAGCTGGTGCTTCGGGCTTCATGAAGATGTCTGTGTAAATCAATCGATACTTTTTGTAGATGACCATCGAAACTGCAAATTTCCTTTCCATCTGATTCAGCCGGTCCTTGAATTCGGCTCCAACATTGGCCATATCACTCCACTTTTTTGCCTTTTCCAAGAATTGCACCAAACTGAGAAATATAAATTTAAAAAATAATTAAAATTAATTTAATGTCGTCTGGCTGAGGGCAAAAAAATTTTACCTGATGTTGCAGAGTTTCAAGAGTCGCATAAATGGAACACCATTGCTTTCAAACTCTGATCCGGAGCCAGCGATGGAAGCTCCTCTGGAACGTCTACAGGCAGCATACAGTGCGCAGCAAAGCCAATGACGTTGATCGCCCTGTAAAAGTGGAAAAATCGCAGGTTATGCATAATTTATAATTTTTTAATCAAGAGCAAAGTTAAATATGAATAAATATATTAAGTGGAAAAAAATAAAAAAGGCTGAAATAAAAAAGGAAAATTGAAAATATTGAGTGCATAAAAAATTGGAACAAAAAATTTTAGCCGATTCGGATTTTTAACTTTCCATTGGTAATTATAGTGTTTTATTGCTATTGATTAAATTGAAGAACTCTACGAGCAAGCACATGAGCCGGGCGCAACTTTTTGAGAGTCACCCCAAAGCTGGGGTTTGATTTAAAAGTGTCCTTTACCTCCAGGGTGAAGTTGATCTTGGTACTGGAGTAGCTGCTCCATGCCTCTTCTGCAGCGATCTGGTCCATATTGAGGTTGGAACAGACATCGTTGTAAAAGTTCCTAGCCCATTCATCAGTTTGCTCCGTTGTTCCCATCTTTGTTGCGAGAAATTCACCAAAATACTGGCGATATTTTGATCACCATGTACTTATGGCCTCGCAGGAAGGGGGACGACTTATTAAATGGCGCGATTTTACGATGAATATAGTGCTCCGCGTGCTTTAATTCTTACGCGCCAATAAATAGTTCTTTACGTCTACGAGCTTTGCAAGATTCTGGAGTAAAAAAATGTAATTAAATAAATACGGTAAACACATAAAAAGTATTTTTTGTAGCACGAAATAGTATTGTAATCAAAATACTAAATTTCCAGTGTTTTAAAATTTGTAAAATTATCGCCACGTAAAGAGCGCGAAATCAAGGCTTGGGTAGAAATGTGGGCGCGTCCGCTCCTGCCGTCCTGCCGCCGACGGCCAGACATTGAACAATGAAAGAAGGTGGAGTCAATTTGTCACGTGATCTTGTATTTTTGTTCACTTCTTGCTATTTTGTTTTTTGTTGTTGATGTTCGTGCAAACACTGCAAACTGGAATGGAAAATATAAATATGGAGAGTAATAAACTGTGAAACAATAGCAAAGCAAGCATAAAACTGCGGAAAAAATAGACACAGCGATTTTGAAGTTATCACCAAAACAAAATAAAGGTTTGTATGTATTATTATCAATGAAAAGTAAATTTATTTAATATTTTTTTTTGCATCTAACAATTTTATTTTCAAATTAATTTTACATTACAGGTATCTAACGTTGTCGGGTAAAATGCTATACCCCAGGTTAAGAAATATATTATTTGTGAACAAAAAACTGGCTCAATTGTGTCTGTGCAATTTTTCATCAAAAGATCAGCCTGCAAGATTTATGATGAAATTGATGAAAGGCTCCAAAAACCCAAAATGGTATTATTAAACATATAATTATTATATTGTGTTATGGTCTCTGGTCAAATTTTTCCGGTGCACTGTTTCAAATTTATTTAATAATTTAATTCACCGCTTTTAATGTTTTCTCATTTTAATAAATAAAATTTTAATTTAGGAAAATGCTGAGAGAAATTGAAAAGGCGCAAAGTAAAAGCCTCATATTTTCTGGAATGAAGTGCTCGTTCACTCAGCTGCAAGGTTCACCACAGGGGAACGTTAGCTACAGACGACAAGGAGTGCTGAACTCTGTTTTCACAAGACACATCGCAGACCACATGTCCATGTCCCATCTTCAAGGTTTCGACATTCAGCTAACCAACGTTGGTGAAAGTTAAAAATTAAATTTTGCCTAACTACAATTTTGTCCGAAATGCAGGTTAAAGTTGCATCAGATTTAAGTCAGGTCAAAGCCTTTTGGATCAGCAGGACGTGTATGACAGGGCACGACCTATCATTACAAATGGAGCTCGACAAGTATTCTCCGCAACTTCGGAGAGACCTTTCAGATATAAAAGTTATAGGCTCTGTTCCTCCGATCATCTTTGTTCCTGGTACAATTATTTTTACTGCACAAAGTACAGTTTTTTTTTTTTTTAACAATAATTGCTTTTTTTTAGATAAAATCTTGGCACAAGGAGCAGCTATTGACCTGCTGTTGCAAACTGCTGAGAAGAGTGAAGAACTTTCAACTGAATTTAACGTAAATGTACGAATTATTTTAGTATGGACTTAAAAATTATATATTTTAGACTGAAGAAGATTTGCCGCCAATGCGTCAAGATCTGTTAGGATTGAACAGAGAACTTATAATGACAAAGGTGCATTTAAATGTTTTAAATTAATAAATTATCAATTAACACTATTATTACTATGTATAGGTTGCTAAAAAATGCATTAAGCAGTCGTCACACCCAAAGCAAGGAGTTATTGTTGACACGGTTGATACAATAGAAAATCTAAATTCTGCCATTGAGGAATTTAAAAAGCTTCAAAAGAAGTCTTTGACAGAGAAAAAGTATCAAGAAAAAAAGCTGAAAGACATTGACTTTGATGTCTACTTTGATGTCTTTGAAATAAGGAATGTAACATCATCAACAGATGACATTGAAGACAATGTCAATGAGCTTCCTGATTTTATTAACGATGATGATAATTTCAAAAACTAAAATATTTTTGGGGTTGTTAGAAATAAAATAAAACAATTAAAGTTTATTATTATTTTTATTCATACAATAGTTAACATTTGCAGACATTGATATCTTCATGTAGTCTAGTAATGCCATTATAGATAAATGCTAACATAAATGCAATCTGCGAGAAAGCGGTCTCCTTTGTTTGAAACCGAGGGTGGGGCCTTGCAGGGAATCGAGCACCCGGTGTGTAGTGGTCCTGGGGCAATTTGATTACATAAATGCATACCTGGAATTTTGTTTCACGACTAGAACAGTGTTTTCAGTTAGTTCTATTTTAGTCGTATGAAAATACAAGTTACAGGGGAAACTAATTTACCATCTAAACCAATTTGTAAATTTTCTCGTATTAAAACTTTTTTTAAAAAACATTTTCAAAAAATATTCAAATTTTTAAATATAGCCTTTTAGATTGGTTAAATGTTAAGACGTAATGAAGTGATTAATTTCATGATTTACATTTAACATACAGTCAATAATATCAGCATCCTTTTTTTTGACATTCATTGGTACTGGGGTTAAACATCTGATATGATATAATATTGATTAGCTTGTTTCACCAGTTTTAATGAAATTATAATTGCACAATTTAATATCATAAAAAAATTAAAATGGACCAAGATTTTAGAGATCATGCTCCTTTCTGACCTGTTGAAGCTCAAGAGTAGTTTTCGGCAATTGCACCTTGGAAAATGACTGCACTATTATTTAATTCGAATAAGAAGTGATGATTTTTCTAAGCCACTTGAATGTGTGGGAATTTGAAAAATGGACATTTGTTCATGAGCATTTTTTTGCGTTGTTAATCATCACTCAACTATAAATCGTTGGTCAACACATAGTGCAGTGTTTAGTTGTGTTAGGCATGCAGGTTTCAGCAGTACAGAAATGTTTGGGCAATGAAGCTTTTTTTGCAGCACTTATGATCGCGATTATCAATCAGCTTAATCATCTTACAGTTAATAGAGACAGCGAGAGTATGCCTGGATTAATAATAGATGCGGGTAGATTACAGATAACTATACTTGAGATGAGAGGAATGAATCATGTCGGAATTCAGCTCTGCGTTGCTTCTTCCCTCTTCAGTATTAGCTGTCAGCTTTCTCAGCTAGAAATTTAAAAAAAAAAACATGAGTAATTAGAAGATTAAAATCTAAAAATTAAATTACCAGCTTTCTCGTCCTCCTGCTTGGCTTCGGGCTCCTTCTTTTCCTCCTCTTCCTCTTTCTTGTCTCCGTTCTCTGCGGGCTTTTCCTTCTCTTCCTTCTTCTCCTCCTTGTCCTTCTTTTTGCTCTTCTCCTCCTTGCTGCCCTTCTTGGCAGGAGTGGCTGGGCGTGGCTTTGGCTCCAGGGCAGGGTTCAGGATCAGTTTGCCGATGTTCTTGCGATCGTGCATCACCTGCATGGCCTCGGGCACCTTTAAAAAATTCCAATGTTTTAACAGCAACCTTTCAAAGGAGGAAGCATTATTACATCTTCGAGAGCCCAGCTGGAATCCACGATGGGCTTAATCGCCTTGTTTTTCCACAGCTGAATGACCTTGTCCATGGCCTTGTGCGCCCTGTCTGATCCGGCAGGGGTTCTGAGCAGATGGCGCAGATTGAAGCCAGCAATGGTCTTGTTCTCGTCGAACAGCTTGATCGGAGAAATCTTGTCCACTTGCCACCACTATAATTATTTAAAGAGAAAAATGATTTTAATGGTAAAAAAAGGAAACTTACTGATCGGGCAACGCTGAAGAAGCTCTTTGTTTCGCCAGTAACAACATTTGACGATCCTGAAAAATAATGATGTTCAAACTCAAGTCAGTAGGGAGGGTAAGGGCAATTACCATAAAGAACGTATTTTCCCATGGGCTTGAGGAGCGAGTAGCCTCGGTTGCAGTCCTCGAGGCAAAGGCAGTCAAGGACCAGATCGACTCCGTCTGGGCTGATTCTGAGAGAAAATCAAGATCAACCAACAATGAGCTCAAGGAAGTTGCTAATTAAAGGGAGCACTCACTTGCGCACTTCACTGACATAGTCGCATCCTCTCTCGAGAAGGTGGTCAAAGTGGTCTTTGATGGCGTCGTGCTTGCTCTTGGAGGCCACGCCGATCAGTGTCACATCCTTCACGGTGCGCGCCAACTGGGCAATCACCAAGCCCTAGAAAAGCAGAAAGGGTTCATTAAAGTGGGACGAATCTTTCGATTTTCAAAGAGAGAAAAATTCATTTGATAAAATTTTATATTATTTAGATTATTAGCATATTTTGTTGGGTTGATGTTTCGTAAAACATTAAATTTATGGGAGCACCATCCTCAAAGGGCCAATTTGCATTTTTATTGAGCCCGTGGCCCTTTGGTTTTATTAAATTATCCCTTATCTGCGCACAAAGGTAAATTTGTGTATTGAGTTGAACTCAAAATTTCAGTAGCAATATGAAACCCGGCGTGTCTGCTTGTGTGGCAGCGGCAGGAAAGGGTCAATGCCTTTGTTGCCGCCGAGCCATGTGATATCACCACTCTCTCGAATATGGGTGCTGAACGGCGGGCTAATAATGATTGCGTTTCCCGCTACCAGTAATTACGCGCTACCACCGAGAATAACCAGAGAAAAATGCTCCGAGCACGCGGAGGAGGAAATTTGATGACAGCTGGATAGCATAGGTGTGTTTGCTTATTGGACGCCGCCGAGTGCACTTTGAGAGCACCCGGAGCGTCACGCTGTTTGACGAAGGGCAATTTCGTGACATTTCTACCGTATTTGGATTGCAAGATCGGTCGGTAATACTAACAATAAGCCTATCATAAATGCCAACGAATGGTAATTTCCGAGCCATTTGAATAAACGGCGACAGCGCGGCGGGTTTGGCGCAGAACTCGAGAACGTCGGGTGGAAATGGGAGATTCGTTATATCTAAGATTACAAAGGGAAAGTTTTTTACGGTCGTCAGGCAGTAAAATTTTCCTCAAAGAAAAAACCGAGCATTTATATATAAAATATTAAAAAATTTATTATTTTAGTTTAAAAAGAGGTCGATTTTCCAAGCTTGGAACGATTTAAAAATGTATGAAAGTCGTTTATTTCCATTCAAAGGCTCCAGACGAAAACCAACTGCACCGACCCAGACTAATAAATTCATCAGCGATGACCAGCAGAAGAGGAAGGAATTTAAACTACATGGGCTTTACATAATGAGTCTCGTCGCCTATGCAAAATAGCTGGAGTGAATTTTTCAGGGGTCGATCGCGTTTATTTGAAGCAAATGATTTGGCTGACTAATTAGGTGGCGCGTGCACCTTTCTTCCTCCCTTTCTTTCTCTCCGTCTGGCGGCAGACAAGCCGGTCGGCACGCGCCGCCAGAGGTGTGGAAAATCGGCGGGCGCGATCAATATTGTGGGGCGGCGGTCCGTTGGCATGGCGACGCCAACCTGTTGATGATTTCCCGACGCCCACGCAACCGGCGGCGCCTCTGCAAAAACCGGCGCTCTTCTTGGAAAAGCGACGGCAAACGCTTGCTACACTCGCCTGTTGCGAATATTCGAATGAGAGCGCAAACGAAAACTTTTCAACGGCTCCTCTGGCCGGAAACGTGCAGAGCTTTTTTGATTTTTGAATGCAGTTTGTGGAAATCGCGATGAAATTTTTTGATAATGGGAGGCTTTGACAGGAATTTTTAATGTGAAATACATTTTGATTTTTAAAATATTGCATTTTCGCACAAACAGGCAGAGATTTTAATTGATTTGTTTATCTTTGGTTCTGCAAAACATTAATATTATCACTGGTTAATAAAAGACAGAGAAGGTTTAAGTAATTTAACGCAGATTATCATTGTGATGAAAAAATAGATTTTCTAAATGTGTGCAAATATCTAGTTAATTTTGCTCTCCTAATTACAGCTGAATTTTTGGCAGTTATTATTCTCAATCTGAACTCACCAGTCCACCACCAGCAGAGTGGAGGAGCACCGACTGTCCCTCGGACAGGCCAGCAACTTCAAAGAGCAGCATGTAGGCAGCGAGTGCGTTCATGGCAAGGGCAGCGGCCTCTTCGTTGCTCACATCGTCAGGCAGGGCGAAAGCCAGTCGGGCAGGCACGCACACAAACTCGGCCCAGGCTCTGAACTCGGGCAGACACACGACCCGCTGGCCGACCTGGAAGTTCTCCACTCCGGTGCCCAGCTGGACCACCTCGCCGGCGCACTCAGAGCCGAGGATGAAGGGCGTCTTAGGCGGGGCGTCGATCGCACCCTGGCGGGCCATCAGGTCTTGGAAGTTCAGCCCACTGAAATTTCAGAAATTCAAAAATTTAGAAAAAATTAAATTTCATCAAATTTATTTGAAAAATAAAGAATGTTTACTGGGTTGTTAAAAATTAGAATAATCTGCTCTGAACGAAGAATAAATAATGCAGATGGCGAGCGGAAATTACCAAAATAATTATGTGTCAATTGCCTCTCTTGCTCCCCTGATCCCGGTCTGTAAGGTCTGTTTGTTTAAATAATGGATCTGTCATTTTGGCGGTTCTAAAAATGTTATCACCGCAGCCCATCAACAGCACGCAGTTTTTTTATTCGACTAGGGAGCGTTGCATGACAACGTTTCCAAGAGAGTATCAGGTGCGCGGTTCACATTGATTAAGTCTGCTCGAATATGAGGTGCTTGACTCGCTGTCGGTGGCACATTCACGGCGGAGTGGCCTTTGTTATCTTGTAGTTGGCGTTTGAATAAAGGGATGAAAAGGACTCGTTTGCGCACCACATTTTTTGCCACGGCACAATGAATAGGCGAATAACAAAAAACAGAGATATCAAAATATACAATAATTTTTAGTGAAAACAATTCAAGAAAAAGCGATAGAATAAATAAAGTTTATATAATTTAATTAAAATTTTAAAAGAGTATTAAAGAACCTATTGGATTAATAAATTAAATAAAAAAGTATTGACAACCAACGTACTTGTAAATAATACATCTATCATTGCCAACGGTTGCGACCGAAAAAAACAGGGACAAGAGTAATTAGACCGGAAAACAGATGTGGATAAAAAGTCGGCGCCGCAGCCCCCGCGGTAAAACAAATTAACCAGCGAATATATAATAATGGAGTAGAGAACATGCATCGAGCCGGCATATTATCCGCGTGTGTACTGTAGTAGAAATAAGTTGATCGAATGAAAAAAAAATACGGTGTGACGTAAAGGCTGGAGCAGACGGTGTGCACGTGCCGCGCGCGTCTGACTCAATAAACTTTCCTATTCCACGGAACGAATTATTATCCGAGCCACCGCAATTTCCCCGAAGTGCAAAGGGGTGACCTGTGCGTCATGCCGGCGGCGACCTGCGAATGCACTCCGAGTGTTGCATGTAATTCATCGTCCGCAGCTTTTTATGCAGGACGAGGCCAATTTGAGAAAGGGGGTTGAAAGGAATAAATTTTTTATTCGCACTAGGCGCGGCTCCGGGGCGGATGGAAATCCGTCGGGAGGTCTCAAGGGTGTACTAACGAAATCGAAGGGCTCGTTGGGAAATCCAGAGCGGCTGGCATGACTGGCCAATATTAAATTTGGGAGAACGCGCGGCGCCTCTTCACACGCAGACACGAGTATCGATTGGCGTCGCGCCCCCCAGTGTTGATAAGCCACAATTTGGTCCGCGCCGCCGAGCACATGCACCACTCGGCCCAAATTGACTCGGGACAACCCAGCCGCTCGCTCGCCACCGCCAGGCCAATCTTAATTACATTTATGTCTTTTCTGCGTCTGCGAACTCTGCCGACGCCGGCATTACATTCTTTCAATTATTGTTATTTCCGAGGCGTTTCTTGCAAACAGTCATGCGGAAAAACGCCGACGGGGAAAACTCCACAAATTGTCAATTACAATCGGAAAAGTTATTCTATGAGTATAGAGTCTGGGAAGTTCCTTGTAAAAATACACTTGTAAAAATAGAACAAAAAACTACCAAATAATAATTATGATATTTATAATTTAGATGCAAATATAACTTTACAAATCGTTCAAAAAAAGAGAAATTATTAATTTTTGTAATTTAGCAAGTTATTTGAATTTAAAATCGGCTTTTCTAAGATGGATTTTGTGAGTTGTTTATTGTTTAAGGAAAAACAATATCCTGCTCTTGGTTGCTTTTTCAGTTTTCAGGTGCACAAAACAAACCTTTCAATATTCTGACCAAAATTATTATATAAATTAATTTGTAAAAAATAAATTGAATTCAAGTGTCAATTTGAAAGAAAAAATTTATTTAAAAAGAGATTGATTTTTGTACTAATTCTTGTCAAAATGATTTCACATTTCATGAATTATGACTGCAGCCCGCAGCCGAAATATGAAGAGCAGGATATTGTTTTTCTTAAACAATAAACAACTCGCAAAATACAGCGAGGAAAAGACGATATTTAATTCATATCAACCCTCGATCGTGAACTTCACCCACAAAATGAGCAGAGAATTCTTCAATTTTTTATTTTTTTTTTCATTCAAATTTATGATAATTTTCTCTTATAAAATTGCATATTATGATTTGAATTTTAACTTTACAGCATTGAAAACGTGTCAAATTTCAACGGCCCATTTTGGAAATTGTCTGCGTGCCGACGAGAAGATTCCATTAGAGCTCGTTTGCTCATGCGAAATTCCGCAACGCTCTCGGGTCGCTCGTTGCTCACACGTACGCAAGGTCGCGAGCGAAAATTTTGTTAAGAGTTTCGTGAGCGTGATGTCTGCACGAGACGTGTGTGCAGTATGCGGCGTTTTTCCAACCAAAAAATATAAATTACCCTGTGAGATACGGCCCAGAGTTGCATGTCGGGCGGATTGAAATTTACGGCCACTTTCCCTCATGCCCGACGGAAAATAGAATTTAACCCTTTTAAGTTTATACGCGCGGTCTATCAATTTATATGGTTCGGAAGGAAAGATAACGATGAATATTTATATTTATAGACGGGAACGGCCGAAGCAGGTTTTTTGTGCATACTTTTCTTTTTGTTTTATTATCGTGCAGGACGGAAACTGTAATCATGAGGTGGGAGTGAAATTATTTGCGCTTTTTATCATCAGAGCCGCGTGATAAAATTGCACTCGGAGCTTGATGGGAATGAGGCCTGCCACGGCCCCAACTGACACAATAAGTCATGTTACTTAATGAGTCTGCCATCCCAGTCGGTATAATATGAAAATTGCAGCACATTTGGGGATGGCGGAAAAATTTATATATACAATTTGAAATGAAACACTCAACAAACATAAGAATAGAGGAAGTTTTAATAAATAAATTAAATATTTTTGTCAGATAAGTGGGAAAACTAAACGCCTGAAAATTGAAAACGGACAAACTTTGTTGCAAAGTAAAAATTAAAAAAGAAAATCAAATGACCCCAAAAAGGCGAACTGCTAGTATTTTGTTCGTGTCTAAACTAAAATTTTGTCAGAGGAATTTTTGAAAAATTGAAAATAAAATTAGGAGATATTAATTTAATGAGAAAAAATTGCAGAAATAAATAAATTTATTAATAAACTCTAGGTTTTTTGAGTACCAGCAGACCGTCAGTCTTTTTATTTTTTTCATTGCAACGAGGTTCACCTTGGTTTCAATTTGTCATGAAATCAACCGTGAGTGTTAGCATTCAATTTGAAACCGCGCCTGTTTATAATGATTAAACATTGGAGCAAAAATTTGCGATAAATATATTTCATTTTAATCTATATTTAAATGCTTCTTTTTAAATTAAAAATGCTTTTTAAAAAATTGAACTGTCCAAAATTTGTTTTAATCAAATTAGGAGTTTAAATATTTCAGGTAATCAAGAAGGAACTTTGAAGATTGATAAAATTGAAGTCAGAAGATTGACGTCAAAGGTCCGGAAGCAGAATTTCGGCCATAGGCATCCCGCACGTCCATAAAAGGCAAACTCGGAAGGTCAACAGCCAACTTTCGGCTGCGTCTGCGGACCCAAATAGGACACAGGTGGGCACCGGTCGCGCGCTGACCCCAAGGGCCATCGCTTGATTACGCATTCAGAACGTGTGAGTCACGCTCGGAATGTCGGAAGAAGTTTGTTTCCGAGGAATTTAGAGAGCGCGCGAGGGCCTCGGGCGGCGGATTCCAAATTGGTCGGGTGCAAAAATAAATAAACGAACCGAAGAAGAAGTTTGGTTGGAGGAAACGAAAAACGAAGGGCAGGCGCGGCTGCACCGACGGAAGGAAACAAGCAAGCCGGCGCCTGCTTAGAATTTGTCATCGCGGCGGCTCGGCGGTCACTCGGTGCCGCCGCGTTAAAAACCATTAATTTTCTTTCTCCACAAACTCCGACACTGACCGCCGCCCGACCAGAATAGATTCTGAGATCATTTCTCAACTTCTGGAACGTATCACTCAGCGTTAATTGAATCAAGTCATTTCCTCGTTGAACAAAAACCACATTTCTTTCGACTTAAAATTTTCAAGAGAGAAAGAGCTCAATCTGATCAAATGATTAATCATTTAAAATTAATATTTCAATTTCAATTGTACTGGATTTTTAATTATTTGATCAAAATTAAGTTTATTTTCACAAAAAATATTCAGTTATTTTGCTGAATGAACGTTTAATTAATCTACTTACTTTTACTTTTTTTTGCGAGCAATCTAAATTCGTTTACGTACAAAAGATGGTCATTGTCTATAATAAAATCGCAAGAAGAAATGCACGTTCCAAATCTAAAGAGGAAACGGCTGGTTAGGAAAAAACAACTTTGCAGAGAGAGCAATAGGTCAACGAGCAAAATTAAAACGGCACGCAGCATTTAACGCGGAATTAATGAGCGCGGAATTTTTTTTATCCATTCCTGGGCTGCACAGGCGTGGTTTCTTGGTCCCTATCAACGAATACGAGAGCCAGTCCGTCTGCTTATGAATGAAGCGTCTGTTTTATCGGCGGATGCGGAATGTGTCAAGTTTTCCTCATCCCGAGCGCGAGATTAGCATGAATTGGAGCCGATTCCTAGAAGCTTTGCGGCCGCCGACGAGGAACAAGAGACGAGTTTTTTAATGAAACATAATGAAGATTCTCTGCAAATGAAATTCGATGCTTCAAAGAGAGATATTTTTATGTTCAAATTAAATTATTCTTGGCATATTTTGATTTGTGTAATTACGTTTTATTATTTTGTTAATTCTGAATGGAATAATTTATATAAGAATTTGCAAAAAATGTTTTCTAAATTACACTTTATTAGTAGATCAAGGCTTTTTGTGTTTAATAAAAATAAACTCAAGTATAATAATAAGAAGCAATAATTATTTAGAAATAAATTATTATAAATTTTTTTTTTATTCAAAACTCAAATTAATGATATTTTGAATATTAAAATTTTTCTGTAGTTATTTTTGCTTCACATTTTCACTGAATTTTAAAATATTTGTAATCACACAGCAAAGAAAAAACGTTTAATTTAAATTTAATTAGCCATGTTGATAAAAAAAATTGAATCTTGATTTAAATTTGTTCAATAAAAGCTTGAAAATCCTTCCAGCCGGTTCAAAGTAATTTTATTCATTTCCAAATCCCTCGTTTAATTTTCGACGAACCGGTTTCTTTCTGAAAAATCAACAGGCCACAAGTAGTTTGACGGCAAAACAAACTCTCGATATTAAGTGGCTCAAATACACTCTCGTGTTCGTTATAAGGGCCATATTTTGCGGTTGCAGAAAAAGCGGCTCTCTCGCCAGCCGCGCCGACTGCCGGTGTCAAGTTTCTCTGCCGCTCGACTGGCTGCTTCGGAGCAAGAAAAGTTGAGAAGAAAGAAAGAGCAAAAGAGAGCAGCAATAATTGGCGCGGGCAGGCGAGAAACAAAGAATGCGCCATAAAATCGCTCGGCGCGCACACGAAATCGGGGCGAAATCTTTCCGGCGATGCACTCTCGAAATTCACAGAGAGACACGATCCAGAATCTTCCACTCGAGAGAATTGGTTTTATCAAAAAAAAAAAAATTCAAGTGCCTTTCGAGTGAGACAGAAAAAAATTAAACTCGGAGGGCGTCTGGAGAGTCTGGAATTCCTCGGCTAATCAACTAATTTAAATTTATTTAATATAATTCGAGATCACGCGGGTCTCGAAATCAAAATGATGGTGGTCTAGGCAGGAATCCCGAAGTGGTGACATCACCACTTTTGTGGCCGGGGGTGTGGCCGCGCCCATCCCTCGGCAGGATCGGGGGTGGCGCGGATTTGGCTGGAATTGTAACTGAAAGTTCTCACCAGTGGGAAACCTTGACGAGGATCTCGCCCTCGGCAGGGCTGGGCTCGGGTTTCTTCTGGGTCTTGACGGACTTGAGGCCGCCGAAGGCCGTGAGGACGACGGCGCGCATCTCGCGGGGTGGCTCGGGCTGCTCCTTCTGGTCGTCGTCCTTCTTCTCCTCCTTGACGGGCTCGTCGTCCTGCTTCTTCTCCACCTCCTCCTGCTGCGGCGTCTCCTCCGGCTGGCTTTCCTGCTTTTCCGGCATCTTCTTTAATTCACCTCGGACGGGAAATGTGTGTGAGAAAGAGCGAGAAGCGTACGAAGCTGTCTGACTTGTTGCTCGGCGTGTCAGCTTTTTTCCACTGACAGATCACCCAACGCCGCACGCCCTGCCGCAGACCGCGGCGCCGCCACCGGCCGCTTCCAGCACTACGCTTGGCACTCGCTTGCTCATGGCTGGGGCGCGGTGACGAATTTTCAGGAAAATCGCCGGCGCCGCCGTCTGCTCGCTCGCCCGCCCGCCCGTCTCAATTATTCACCTGCGTTGCTGCAGCGCACCTGCCACTGCGACAATCTGGCTGCCTGCTGACGTACCCGCGTGACCTAGATTTAAATTTTTCAAAATTTCAATAACAAAGATCAAAATTTAATAAGAAAAATATATTTTTAAAGTGTCATGAAAAAAGTGGGTTTTTAATTAATTTTTATTTTATTAATTACTACACAGTACACATAATATATTATATCAGATTTATTATTTTTTAAATATTAAAAAAAAATATGATTCATGTATTAATATAATCAGATATAATTATTATGTAGAATTTAACTAATTTTTTGTTACAAAATCTAACAATGCAAAAGTAAAATTAATACTATGTTTCGGAAAATACATATTTTTATATTTATTCAAAATTTACGAGTTTTTATTTTGTATGGTATAATTAAAAGATTACCGAAGATTACGATTACTAAACCGCAGTAAATTTTTCCAGAAAATTGTCTCTTCATGTTTTTCCTAAAATAGTTTTATAGGTGAAATTTTTATTTTTTCAAATAAGATTATTCGAGGGAAAAATATCTCGGAAATGGAAATAGATTGTTTGTAGTGAGAAAGTGTGGATTTTATAATTTCTTAAATAGGAGAGCAAAATATTAGAGATTCAAAATATAATAAAGTGTTTTAAAGTATTCAAAATAAGTATCTTAACTGGATCTTTTCATAATATATGTGCGTTTTGAATATAATTATGATGACAATTATAATATTTATTTACAAATGTATAAATGGATATAAAATCAAATATTTCATTGGATTTTAAGGATCTTTCCAGATGTTTTTAATCCATATACTTCTAATAATATCAGTATCAAAACACTCGAACTTCCTGGTAATCCACTAATAGTTTATTTGTTTAGTATCTGCTTCGTCATTTGTAAAATGACTCATGTGTAATTCTATCAGTCTGAACAAGCAATCAAAGCCTACGCATTTACTCTCCCCGCTCAGCGTGAGAATTGATATGAATTTTAATTAGCGAAGAGCAGTCAATTGTTAATTACGTGAAGACTTTTGTGCGCAATTTGTGGTATTCATAAGGCGTCGATGAAGTTCTTGGCATCCTTTTTGTCATCCGAGGAATGCAACATTGCGAAATAGCTTGTTGCATTGCTATAATTTTTAATTATTCACCTTGAATGCTTATTTTAGATTTTATGGAGAGTTAGCTCTTGCATTATCTCTCTGCATAAATTTAATTTTTATAATTAGGGGTACTATTAAAAGATAATTAAAAACATTTTTCACGTTATGGTTGTACAACATTTAATGGGTTCCAAGTTTTATGGAATTATTAAAAGTCAATTAATATATAAATGGACAATAGAGATTCGTCGAGAAAATAATCAAGTTTTAATATTGGCCAATAGTTCACATAATCTGCACCCGATAAAGAGTACACCGATCAATTACAAAGACAACATCAAATTCAAGTGTAAAAGTTCATAAATATCAATTTAATTAAGTGAGATGCGCCAATCCAACATAGTGTGATTTATTATATCATCAGTGGGCTACTCATCCATTAATGTAACGGGATAAAATGAACATTTTATGATTTTTAGAAGAAAAAAGAATAATTGTCATAATTTTGATTTTCAAGTGATAAAGAGTTTTGGGTTTTGCATAATTTTTCATCTACATTGTTTGTCTTTTTTATATCACACCGACTACTCTTTATCAAAAATATATGAGCTACCAAAATAGATTATCGCCGTCTAACACACTTCCCGTTTAATTTGGTTTAAATAAAAATTTATCCCCACATCTTAAATAATAGAATAACTGGCTGCGATTGCCGTTTTTGGCAAACTGTAATTTGAAACGAGCAGAGTGCCAAGGCAGAACATTAATTTGGATTTATGAAAGTACCAATCAACAAATCAATAATTATGTCAACCAACACAACTTGCAATCTATGTAACATTTCAACAAAACAGGTTCCGATGGGATTTTTTGTGATTATTCAAAATTTTATGTACAGGTTTTGCTAGCATCTAATATGGTTTTGTGGCACAAACAACATTGAATGCTACCGCTTGCTTTTGTAAATTTTCTCTTCCAGTGATAGAAAAAATATTCTCGATCATCTCTGCTTGTTTAAGGCTTCCGAGTTGGTTTCTTTTTGTTTATTTGAATTCTGTTGTACTGTAGAGAGTTTTCTTGAGATAATTAGACTAAAAAATTAATTTCAGACTTCGGTATATTGCCATCAAAATTTTGGCAAAAATATAAAATAAGAAACATAAAAGTCGTCCATTCAGTCAGTTGCTAAACACGAGGTATAATTTTTTCAGCATTATTGATCAGAACGCAGAACATCTTCTGCGATCCTTCATCTAATAATATGGTGAAAACGTTTAAATTATATAAAAATAAAAAAGGAACTGAACAGTTCTAGTTTTCCTAGCGTGGAAACGCGCTGCAAGCAGTTTACTTGGCTTTCAGAGATGCCACGAAAATTATAATTATTCAAGAACAACAATAATTGGTGGTACATACCGCATTTTAAGATTTTGTTTCACAATCGAAGGAAAAATTTTCACAGTTGGGTTCCTGAGGAGGTATGTATTCACAAGATGATGCAACAAAGTTCGACACAAAACCACTTTAAAAGTGGCCGCCAAAATACACACTTTTTCTCTACCTGCGTGTGTGGAAATAAAGGAACAGAATACAAACTGATGTCTACAACCAAGTACACCTTTCAGGCTATTCTGCAGAGAGACATTTTTCAAATGCCTCCTAGAAAAGTTACAAATCGGGAAATCATTATACTCGTTAGGCTTCCAAGCCTACATATTTGTGTTGCTTATGTGTCTATAGCGGTGTAAAATCTTAGATAAAAATTACAATTTTTGGCCCTTACTCAATTTGAATTCACTCTTGAAATATGACAAGGTGGGTCCACTTTCAGGAGCACTCGAGTAGATATTGAATGTAAGAAGTGGTTAAGGTTTGAAATTCAGCATTCACCATGAAAGGTTTTCCTAATATTTGTATGGCACTCATTCACTTTTCACGTTTGTGTGAAAAATCTTTCGTCGATTGCGACGATTCCTTTAACTTTGCATCTACCTAGATTACTGCACAGTGGTCGATCTTTGTCTGAAATAAAAAAGGATATTTTAATAGTAAAATTTAAGCTACTATATTTTAAAGAGAAATTAACTTTTAAGTTTTTAAGAAAATTTCAGCTTAATATTATTTCACACAAAAATTTAATTACCAGAATGAAGTTCCAAGGGCAGGCTGGTAACATGAAAGTCCCACATTTCTCAGCAGAGTGTTTGGTCGATTGGTATTGGCACGGTATTCCAAGGGGCTGCAAATAAAAAGACAATTTATTAGCCACATGACAACAAGGTGGACACATTGAAATATTAAAAAGCAAAATATTTATATAGACAAGCATTGTTGATTCTTGGAATATCCAATCAATTCAGCTGCAATAAAAATTGCTTAGAAATTTATTAATTCCGTCATGCAGGAGCTGGTTGTTTTTTTTTTATTTACTACAAAAATGCAGGAGACTAAAAAAATGCTCTATTATTAAACGGAGAACACAAATCAACAACTTTGCAAGAGCTGTGAGGAGAAATAATCACCTGTTGGTGTCGGAATTACTTTTTCTTTGGGCTTGCTCCATGTCAAAGGAAAACGAATTATTCAGCATCAATAAAACCTCTCACGGCATGCCTTATTCTCAAAATTATCGTCCAAAAAAGTAACTTACTGGTGCTCATGCATGTGCTCATTGAGGCTGAGCTGGTCGTCGGCCAAAAAGTGGCACTTGTTGCAGGAGCGTTTGTTGTGCACCTTCAGCACGTGGGTCGCCAGCCGCTCTGAACGCGCCGCCTTGTAGTCGCACAGGGCGCACACAAATGGCTTCAGGTGGGTGTTGAGGTGCCGCTTAAGACACCAGTTGTCCACGCCAGACCAAGAGCAGTAGCAGCAGGTGAAGCGCTTCTCTTTCTGCTCCTTAGGTGGGGTGCCGTTGCTTGTGCTGCTGTTGCTACCGCCAGCAATTGACGTTTTTTGTTTCTGCAAAAATATGAACAGAATATTTTATAACGAGCAAAATTGATTCATGATGTTTTAATTCAATGTTAAGTATTTGCTTTCCTGTGTTTTTACAAATCATTAATATTGCGACAGGATATTCTGGTTTTGTTTGATATGAAAAACGTTTTTAAAATAAAATTATTAAAAAAAACCACAGTAAATTTAAATTGTGAATCTTGACGCTTTAATTTTATTTTCAGAAATAGTGAAAAATTAACGATTATAAAATTTGTAATTACAAATTTTAATTAATAAGATTATTTATTTAATTAACTGAGATCATGCTTAATTGGAATTTTAATTTTTAACGTAAACAAAACGAGGAAAGCTATATATTTTAATATAAATAATAAAATAGAAAAATTTGAAAAATTCAAAGTTGAGACAATATCACAGATTTGGTATAATTTTATTTTGAGCTCTACCTTATTAGCAATGCCATTCTGCTGGTGTTGTGGTTGTTGCTGCTGCTGCTGCTTCGGAAGGTACGCCTTGGGCTGCGGCGTCCTGATGGGCAGAGTGTAATGCGGCGTTTGCAGAAGATGGTGCTGCGGCGGCTGCAAATGGTGCATGTTGTGGTGAGACTGCCCCTGTTGGAAGTGCGACGACTGCTGGACTTGCTGATGCTGCTGCACCTGCGGCTGCTGCTGTTGGTGAGAGCGTCCGGTCGAGCTGGACGGTTGTCCTGCCGAGTACTTGTGGTAGTACGACATGCCGCTGGCGTTCTTGGGCGGCGAGCGGCGGATCTTGTTGATGTCGTACGGGTGGTCCCGGTGCATTCGCAAAAAGTGCTTTTTGACGTGGTCCGCCCGGTTGAACTGTTTGCGGCAGACGTAGCAGTGGAAGGGCTTCTCGTCCTTGTGAATGTTTTCGTGCCGCGTGAAAAGGTCCCTTCGGTCAGTCGCGTACGGACAATAACTGCAACTGTACCGTTTCTCGGTCGAGCTGCTCAGACTGCTCCCCCGTTCTCGGTGCGTCTGGCCATTACTAGAGTTTGCATATTGTTCAGCCGGCGGTTTTTTGGTCAAGCTCTCAGCCTTGGTCTTCAGTCTCTGCAGGTATTCGGTCACTTCCTCCAACACCTCCTTTTCCTTCCAAAGCGAAGACGGAATGGGCGACGTGCTTGGATTATTAGTGGCCGCGTTGTAATGCTCCTCATCTGGCTCCGTCTTGATCTCACTACTATTTCCTGCACCCTCCGAGTGTTGCTTGACGACGTGCATCCGTACGCACCGGGCCCAGGCACTTGTGTACGAACACTGGGGACACCGATAAACGGATAGGTTTCCGTGGGTGCCGATCCAGTGCTCGGCCACCCGCGCAAGGAACCCTTCAAAATCGCACTCGGAACACTTGAAGGTGCGCTGGGCGGGGTTGTAGGTGGCGATTTTGCTTCGGGTCCACGAAAGTTCGTCGTCGCTCGAGACGTACCGGTCGACGTGAGCGGCGACTGGTTCCGCGGCCTGCGGCACTGGCGGGACGTTGATTGGAAGCTGGCTGTGGATGGGGGTCGATTGCTGTTGGTAGTGGTTGTTCTGGCCTGTGGTTGAGGGGTTGTAATTTGACATGGCGGCCACGGCCGGCGGGAAGCTGGTCTGCATGAGGGCGGCCAGTCCGAAGGCCGTCAGGGTCTCCTCTTTGAGAAAGGGCGGTGCGAGGGCCTGCTCCTCGTACCGATTGTTGGCGCCTCGGTTTTCCATGTTGGACGCGGTGGTGGTCGGCGGCGTGTTGGCGACGGCGTTCGGCGCTGCGGAACTTGCGTTCAGCCCATCCTCGCTGGTGCCGTACAGTTTGCGCGTGATCTCTTTGAACATGTCCTCATAGCAGTCCATTGGCAGCGCCCCTGAATCCATTCCTCATTGCTAGATTCGAGCGGCGTGCACCTTCGAGAGCCTTTGCACCTCTCCACCAGACGTTCACCCCTGCAATAAAAAAACCATGAGAAAAAATAATAATTGACTTTTTAATCAAAAGTTCTTTAGAGCACTCGACATAATATATTACATAAAAACTTAACCTGTCATTTTAATAAAAATTAGATTTTTTATGCCGTATTATCTCTCAATTTTATTAAATTTGTTGAGCCAAGAACATGATCAATGTGATATTTAAATTAAAGAAATTTAATTTGGATACAGAAACTGAGCGAGAAGACCAATGCTCGGAAAATAAATAAAAAATTTCAAATTACAACTTTAAATTCGAAATATTGATTTAAAAAAAAAAAAAAAATGATTAGGATTTCTGTTTCCAAAAATTAATTTTCCTATTTAAAGCTTAAAAATACCTGTATCCTTTGAAAATAATAAAGATTTCCAATGAAAAGTTGAAATTTGGAAGTTTTAATTTGCTTTCCGAACATTGGTTTTCTCGCTCAGTTTCTGAATCCACGATAAATTTCTTTTGTAAAATTAAAACGGAAATTATAATATACTTAACATCGCAAATACAACACAAATCTACAAAAATAAATAAATAAATAAATAAAAAACCACTATAACAAATTATCAACATATTTTTCAATATATCACAACGCGGATATTTTGAAAAATAAAATGAAAATAAATTTAAAATTATTTCATTCTGGTTGGGCTTGTATAATTGCATGTAATGAAAGCTCGTGTCCTAAAATTAAATAATTGCCAACTTCCGGTCATTTCGGTGGCGCCAACTCTTGGGCCAATCCCATGCAACTTTTGACCCCGGAGTGGCAAAAATTGTCACATCGATCGCGGGGCAGCGGGCTTAATTAATTAAGTGCATGCTTGGCCGTTCTAATGCACTGCTCATTACTGCACGAGGGAAAGTTGCTTTTTGTGCGAGAGGCGCCACGCACCCCACCGCGCCCACTCTCATAGCTCACCTCCCTCTTTCACACACTCCCCCTCGCAGGGCCGTGGGTCTATTGATCGCCAACCACCCCCTGACTATAAAACTAACTAAAGAAGGGCCAGAAGAGACTCTCACTCACTCACTCGGGGCGCCCACCCCGAAAGTGAGCGCCGGCTAAGCAACCACCAGACGGAACAAAAGATATGGAAAATGAGCCAAAACGGAAACTCTAATTAAAAATCCCACAAAAAATACATTTTCTTAATAGGGCTGACAACAATTAATTAAACTCGAGCGTGGAATTCCAACTAATCAGTGATTTGCATTTTTATTTTTCAAGCATAAAGCAAAGAGCCGGCGCCTGTTGGCAAATAATTGATGCGCCCGCCGGGAGCGATTAATTTTTAAGCACGCACTAATTTGCATGACAATGGGCATAACTATGCACTGGCTCCCCTCAGAACTGGCGGGCGGGCGGGGGCTGCTGTGCATCAGAAAAAGGATATTTCTCGCCCCCCGCTGCACCGCCACCCGATCAATATAAGACCCTCCCCCCACCCTCACCCATACATACCACCCTCGCCCCAGAGAGAAAATCACCCCTGCTGGCGATACGTACGTACATGCGGGAGGACCGACCAACCACCCTCGCCGCCCATCAACCCTTGCTGCGCCTGCATCTCACCCTCTGCACACACACACTCACAATGTACACCAAGCAACCCCTCCGCTGGAAATTATTTTTCCGCCCGACGCGGGTAGGCACCGCTCGGAAAAGAAAGAAAAGTTGTTACACGCTCTCGTTTTTCACAGACTGACCGCCACGCCGTTTTCCTTCGTTCTTTTTCTTTCTTGCACGCTTCTTTTTGTTTGCGAGGGAAATGAACGGGTGAGCGAGACAAGCCGCGCTTGCCAAGTGAAATATTAGACGGACGCTGCGGTTTCTTTTGGTGCCGCAAGATCTGCTGGTGACAGATCGCAATTCATGGTGGTCGATGAGGATGATCATCGATTTTTTTTGTTGGCGGATTATTATTCACAAAATGCAAAAAGTGCTTGGAACTTGACACAAGGTTAAAACCAGTCCCATAGAATTTAAAAATATAATGATTAATTTTTAACTATTTTGGTTTTTATGCTATTTATGCTAATTTTATCATTAAAAACTTAATTCTTATCAAATTCATTATTGTTCATTACTAACAAAACCAGACCACCGACTGCATCCTTAGTCGACTGTGCTGCTCGCCACTCTCAGATGGGTAGTAAATTTCCGTATACCAATGGTATAAACTTGCAAGAAAGATTTTTCAAAATTTCGCTGGAGAATTAGTGAATGTCACCAGCAATGCTCAACGATATAATGAAATACTGGCGTTATATGGGTTATATTATAGCTTTTTTTCTCCTTTTGATTTTAGATAAATTATTTTCGTACAAATAATTTACTAAATTTACTTAAAAAACGCATCAAAATTATAAAATTATAAAATTATAAAATTTCCTCGCTAGTAATTGTGAAAGTCTGAAATAAGAACAAACCCTTGATTAAAATTTAAAACTAACTCAGCTTTAATTACGACGAGAAATATTATTTATATTTTTAAGCAGTACTATAATGCATTAAAATATTTAATAAATTAACATTTTCCAATTAATTACCAGAGCTTCAAAATTTAGTTAAAACTACACAAACGACAGGAAATTCGACCAGAATATTTGTCCAGAAATAATAAACGCACGTGAGTCATTTTGAATAATTTTTGTATAATTTATTTTTTATTGCCTTTTAATGACTTATTATTGAGTCGGAACTAATATGGGTACGCAGCAAATTATCGGAATGTGGCAATAATTGAAATAATACCCCAAAAGGAACAAGAGCAAATCGGATCAGATTGATTGGGCACGATTGAAGCGATTACAACGTGATTGGTTTCCTACAAGGATTGCTTTTGTTCGCGAGTCTAGCCACTTCCTGTCGTTCTTTTCAGCTTTTACACTCGCGCACTCTCTCTCAATCACAAAATACACCTTCCCTCCCTCTCTGAATAGGTCGTCGATGAATAAATTTTTAATATTATTTACAAGTTTGCACCTCATAAGGATTCACGAGCCACAGCAAGTATAAAAAATAAGAGAGGCGGTTGCAGCCTCCCCCAACCCGGCGTGCTCGAGAAAAAGAAAGATATATAAATATGAGGCAAAAAATGTCTCGGGTCGCTTTTAGTACAACAAGCAAGACCTGGTTGCCAAATGTAGTCACTTCAGTCGGGACCATCTCGCGACAGTGGAAAATAATGAAAGGAAGAATATTGCCTCTTTTATTTGGCTCTGTGGAAAACAGACCACGCGGACATAAAAATCTGAAACCCTTTTTTACGCTTGTCTTGCTTGCGTGACACTTGAAAAAACTACAAAGTGGAAACTTGCCAAAAATAAATAATTTCCATAAAAATTTCCTATTCCAGAAGTAAATAAGATATGTGACGATAAAATGCATGAAGTGTGCAATAGAATTATTTAAAAAACCTTTTTCTTTCATTTTTATTAGAAAAGAGCTGCGATTAAGAAAAAATTGATACACGTTCACAGCGGTTCATGTAATCCACCAGGAAGCCAAATTGCTAATTCAATTACTTGAATTTCATTAAAATTTAAATTATTTTCTTTCCTAATGAATCCCAACAAACTAAATTTATTAAAAAACTTTTCTTCTCAAGTTTTCTCAGGACATTATCAATTTTTTTTTATTTATTTGTAATCGCTTTAACCGGCTTTAACGTTTCTGATATGTGGAGGATTTTTAATTAACAAAACTAACAATTTATCTAAAAACATGGTCGATGAAAATTAAACTTTTAAAAATATTTTTTGATTAAAAAAAGGTAATAATCGCAAATTGGGCAATGCGAGTTATAATATTATTTTCTCTCTTATCAATCAACAATCCACGAAACTTGCACAATAAGGAAAGAATTTTATATTTTCTCGCGAGTCAGCCGTGCAGGTAGACGCAAATTGTGCGGGGGGTGGCTGTGGATGACGAGTTCGGAGGGGGTGGAGGCGCACCTGTCCGTCGGTCCCTTGGTCCGCCCGGCGTGTCGGAATGTTATTTTTGACGCGGCCTGTACAGCCCGGCTCCCCTAAATAATACGACGAGAACATAGACACTATCTCTGCCTCCCACCACCCCCGCCCGCCCGCCCTCTCGCTCGAGAGCCCAACCGCGTTCGCCTCTCGCACACGTTTCGTCCACCCACGAATACACAGTCGTGTCCATTGTTATATACTTCTAGTTCTCTCACCTGCGTGTCCGAGAGTGTCCCGTCCGGTGACGAGGCCTCGCTTCTCTTCGTTCTCCGGCCTCTGACTCGCTCTCTCGCTCCTCCCGCCCGCTGGTCCCTTTAAACGCACACTTCCTTCGCCTGCGTCTCTCGCTGCACTACTAAAACAACCCCCCTCCCTCCACCCATCTCCTCCCTCGCACGATGATAAAGCATTGCCATCCCCACCCTCCGGTCGGCGAGCATGCTTTTTTCAAGATCAGCGGACCCAGTTTTCCGTAGACCCTGGGAGGTGGCAGCAAAGTCTTGACCTTGTGGGTGGAAGTGGAAATAACATTTTTTTTTGCCAAATTGCAACGAGCAATTTTTTTATGTGCATCAATTAAAAAATTGTTGCTTATTTTTAGTCAAAATTAATCAATATTTTAAATTATAAACTAATTTTTGAGGATTTTTTTTATTAAAAATTATTTTATTGATTACTTGAAATATAATATTATTTTCTAGGGTTATCCCAAGACTTAAATCAGTGGTGCAGAAGGCACCATCTAATTTACTAATGATTTTTTTTCAGTTTCTTTTTCGTTATTATAAAGCTATTTCATGCTTTTAACGTTTTGTAAAAAACTAATAAAAAAGCGCATGTATCTGAAATAATATTTAATTTATTTTGAATCAGCAGCTTTTCATTATAATAACGGAAAAAATTATTACGAGCAACAAAATTTAACTCCAATGTTATTAATTTTTTTTTTTTTTTTTTTTTTTGAAGAATACAATTAACATTTTTATAATGCCGTGTTATCAACATTTTGACACAAAAACAATATATTCCGATTATGACTAAAACAAAGGTTACATTCTGCCTATTTTGTTGATGATGTAATGATGCTTTTTATAATAAAACTTTGTAGCATAATTTATCTGAAAAACAGGGGCATAAAGCAATCATCAGAGCCCCATTTGTTGAAAAATTCCTAAAATCTGGTGAAAATTCCTTCATAAAATCTGCGGTTGAAAACCCCCCTGATCGAGGAATCCCTGATGACGTTGGGTCCTCCGAAGCCCTGGCCAGCCATGGACTGGGGGAAGTAGTAAGCCGGGGCTGCAGGATCGAGGGATGTTGTTGAACCCCCCTGCTTGAGCCTTGAGGTTTCCACTGTTTGGATTGGGCCCTCCAACACCCGGCCCATCTGGTGGTCAAGGGCCGTTGATGGGAGCGGCCTGGGCGACACCCGGGATGAATATGCCCTGCTGGAGGCATCCGCTGATGGCATTCGGAGCTCCATCACCGAAAACCTGGTTCTCAGGAAGGGGGCCGTAGATGGGAGCGGCCTGGGCGACACCCGGGATGAATATGCCCTGCTGGAGGCATCCGCTGATGGCATTCGGAGCTCCATCACCGAAAACCTGGTTCTCAGGAAGGGGGCCGTAGATGGGAGCGGCCTGGGCGACACCCGGGATGAATATGCCCTGTTGGAGGCATCCGCTGATGGCATTTGGCGCTCCAAAACCTACAACGTGGTTCACGGGCCAAAAGGGACGTTGCTGACGTTTGGGCCTCCAATGCCCAGCTGCTGGTTTTTTATTGAAGGCTGCGGCGAATGGACCTCGGTTTTTGAAACACCTCTTTTGCCTCAATTCTGCATTCCAGTTCCAGTTGCTGAACTTCATGGAATCTGCGCAAGAGAAAATTTGCATGGAGTCAAATTAGAATAATTCTTCAAGAATTCTCAAATAAGGACACCATACCAAAATGAATTATGTTTATAAAAATGACTTTTCAACGGCAATTTTTTTTTAGGTTAATCCTGCTCATTTTAAATTGCACAAAATTTCCATTGTTGCAATTTTTAACATAATATAATATTTCCTTATCTTATATGCAAGAAATTCACTTTTCATTTGACTATATAGTTCTATTTCCTACATTATCAAATTTATTATTAACTAATTTGTTTAGTTTAATTAATTTATTAATCAAATAGTTATATGATTAATTAATTTAAATAAGATCTTTGTTAAGAAAGATTTTTAATTTGTGAATAGTTAATTTTATGCATTGTGTACTTTCAGTAATCAGTATTATAATTTGCTTATATTTTGTTGTAATAATTTATAAATGACTAAAAAAATAGTAATTTATAAATTTTATAATAACAAAAATTAATGTATCGTTAGTTACCTGAAAAATAGGGGCACAGGGCGCAATCAGAGCCATGTGTTGTTGCAAATTTCCAGAACTTGGTTGTTCGATGTGCTGCGCTGATCACATTTAGGCCACCATTGTCCATCTGCTGGTAAGGGATGTGCCAAGGGTAGTTGATGGGCGCGGCCATTGGACCACGATCACCAGAACCTTTTTTACAGTTGTCTGGCGCTTCTCAGAATTCTGCAGTCCAATTGCGCACGTTTAAAGTCTGGTGGCGAGGAAATTTTTAGTCAAAATTCAAATAATTCTTTTAGATTCGCAAGGGAAAACTTACCCCAGAGCAGAGGTTGTTTAAAATGAATTTTCAACAGTCCATTTTTTCATCATTGAGATAAATCCATTGTAGCCAATTTTAAATTTTACAAAAATGACATTGTTGCAATGCAATTTTTAGATCATATTCTTTATCATATGCATTGCATTAAGTTTACTTTTCATTTATTTTTATAAAATTATTTCCTATAAAAAAATTTTAATTAAATTATTTAAACTATTTTTTTAGTCCTTTGAAATTTAAGATATTTTTTTTAATGAAGATTTTTAATTTTAAAATTTTTTATTTAATAAATTTTTTAATTGATGTGCAAAATTTATTTGCTTACATTTATTTTAATAATTTTGTTATATCTTATAATAAAAGAGCTCAAATTTACCTTATGAGTATAATTATTTTGAGCAGGAAAATAAATAATAATAATAAAATATTCTTAGTGAAAAAATTTAAATTAAGCTCCAAATTTTATTTAATTCATAAAATGATATTGATAACTACGTTATTTTTTTCTATTCTAAAAAAAAATTGTGTATACTGTATACAATTAACATTTAATGCTATTTAAGCGCACCACAAAATATTCTTTGATTTTAAGACAAGAAGGACAAAGCAAAGCTATTCTGCCATGTTTGTTGGAAATGCTCTAATAAAACTTTGTCATCATACCTGAAAAATTTAATTATAACGATTCTAAAACTAAAACACTGCCAAAGGAGATCAAAAGCCAAAATATTTGAAAATCTGAGTTAAAAATTAACATGAATACAAGAAGTATTTATAAAAGAAAATCTTCAGTTGACGTTATTGTTGCCTCCACCAAAAGAGGAATGTCCAGCTCAGTTAAACTTGCTGCAATTAAAATAAAAATATAACCAAGTTTGATTTTAAAGAGATATAAAAAGGTGTACCTTTGGCTGTAAGCAAATCTAGGAAGGTGTCCAGTGGGGACAATCGATCCGCAGAGGGGAAAGCAGCAATTCCTGGAGCAAAGGAAATGTAATTTTATTTCAAATAGAAATTAGGTAAATGTAAACTGATTTATTTTATTTCAAATAAATTAAAATCTTCATCAGAAAAGTTGCCAGAACCAAAACTGAACCTACCTCTGGACGAAATGGTGTTGCGTCTTTGTGTCACTTGCCGGTGATCCCTGTTGGCTGATTCGCCAGACAAAAGGAGTAGAGCATGTTCTCTTGCCCTGTACATGTAACTAATGGGGTGGCCCCACTGGTTAAGAATTCGCCTTGCTCTGGTCCTCGGCAGCAACTGCAATAGGCCTACTTTGTAGCTCACGCCTAGTCGCTTTTCCGTCATGTCTATAAGCACCGAGTTGAGTTTATTTTAGAAAAGATATTTATTATAAATACCTCCGAATATTGCCTTGATGGCGTCGACATGTAGCTCAAAAACGTGTCTGCGGTTGTACTGCAGAAATAGGGGCCAGGGGAGAGTACGATATCCCAAATAGGAGAAAAAGGAGGTGAACCCTTGCGGTACAGGAAAGGCTTGGGCCTCTGCACAGTAGAAGAAGCGTTCCATCATGATGAAAAGTGCTTGACGACGATTTTCATCCAGCTGATCACTGCATTAGAAAATAAAATTTAATAAAAGAGAAAAGTATAAATTAAAATACATAAAATTTTTAAAATTTAGAAGTTAACTAGTGCATTGACGATTATTAGATCAATCAACTCACATGAGAAGAAAGCCTCTCTCTCCTTGCTTCTCAGCCTCAACACCTGCACAGGAGGCCATGAGACGGCACACCTGGCGTGACGCTTCGAGTTGAGCACCAACAAATCGTGTCGCCACAGCGTGAACATGCATGGGTGACGGACAAAAAATGGGCCGAGGCCCTTGCGTGGCTCCTTTCAAAAGATGCATGCTCAGCTCCCGCAAATTCTGTGTTAGTGTAATTTTTCAACAAGTTAGAAAACCAACACGGACAAAGTTAACGAAGATTGTTAGTGAACGGAAAGATTTGTAATATGGAGGAATAAGCCTTACCACTGCAACGACGTACTCTTGTTTGCTGGCGGTGCAAGTTTCCGCTTCTTGGAAGGGCAGGAGACCTATGAAGTTTTCTTTGCCACCGTCACGGCTGCTGCGAACCAAATCTGGCAGTGTCGACGAAATGGAGCTAAATCCTGCGCCTGGAGACAGAGGAGTGCTGCTTCTTGAAAGTGCTTCTGGCTGAAAATAAATAAAACACGTCAAAATTTAAAACAAATTTTTACTTTCCAGTAAAAGAAGGTCCTCTTTCTGAATAGGAAATCAACTAATCAAAAATTTTACCATAATAAAAAAAAATATATATAATACCTGATAACAAAGTAGCGACAACATAAGTTTATCAGCGACGTGTGAAGGACAGAATCTTTCACTGGGCTTGCTGTGGGCAGCATCCCAGAGTCTAGTCCACATATCTGCTCGATACGGCACAAGCCGTTGTTGCGGAGAAAGTAGTGTCATGGCCGTGTTCCAAAGCTCCTTCTGCTGCAACCAAACTATGCCCTAAAATGAAAAAATAATTGTAAATTTCTTTATTTTCCTAGTCATTTACTTACAGCTCTTGGTTGTTTGCTTGCCGTGGTTAGCGGCAAAATTGTGATTAGTGGAAGGGCGTCGCTTGGAATATTTTTGGTTGCATTAGCATAGGCAGTGCCAATAAGAAGTTCTTGAACTAATTTGGAAGTGGTCAGACTCCTTGCTTCATTTTTCATCAACCATTTCAAGAGCTGAAATCAAATTTCTTAGTAAAATATATTAAAATAATTTAACTTCACCTCAGAAGCAGTTTCGAAATCATTGTAGTGTTGCAGGAGTTGGTGCAAAATTGCAATTCTGTTTTGGCAGTTGTGATCGAAACGGAAACTCATGGACAGTTCGCTTTTGGTAACTTTGACCGTGTACAGCTCCAGACTAGACAGGTCCAGCAGACGAGACCCAAGCTTCGGAGGTGAATAGTTCAGGGGTGAAGGGTACAGGGGAACGGCCATGGGTGGCGAAATTATCACATGGTTGCACGGTTCGTGGGCCGAACCCACGTCCAGCAGGTGGGTGAAGAGATCGGACGCAAAAACTAGAAGGTGTTGGTCTGCAAACAATCGATGAAGTAAAGCAATGACAATAATTAAAAGCAACTGACCGCCGTGCAAAACAAAAGTTGGCAAAACATTGTATGCAAGGTTGGCAGGAACGTCTGAAATGACACACTCGATGACACAGCAGTGGTGCAGGGCTGTGACCGAATAGGCAAAATTCACACATTCATCAATGCTAACTTCTTTTCCTTCCTTTCCCTATAAAAAATATTAGAACCTTAAAATAATAAATAGTTAAAAACTTACATAGTAAATGTAATGGTGGCAAACATAGGCTAATCCCTTGTTGCTGCAAATGATGGCCAACTCGAGGGTGTTGTCATGGATTTTTAATGGCACTGGATTATCCGAATAAAGACTTTCAGGCCCAGGAAGTCCAGCAGGTGGTGCTGTTCCCTCAGGAAGGTTCAAAGGAATGTTTAGCTGAAAAATTATTTATAATCAAACAAAAATTCTCAAATGCTGTGTTTATCTTACAACAGTCTCATGAGGTAGATCGTCGTGAAACTGCAGACAAGAGAGGGATGGTTGAGGAGGTCGAGAGGCAAACTCCTTAAAAAACTCATCTTCCTCACCCTGCATAAGCCGAGACTGAGCCGTCTTCACACTGACGTAAAATAGACTTTGCAGGTGAGGGTCCCACTGAGCCCAAGAAAACTGGCGCACAATGACATCTGACGTGATCGGACTGGTCTGAAACTTGGGTGGAATTTCAGCATGCTAAATCACTTGTATTTATTTTTTTTTTTAATTATCAACATACCCATTTATCATCCGCAGATTTCGACAGCTCTACTTGGTAGAGGCCAACACCTAAATTAACCAAATTTGTAATGAAAAAGTAGAGTTTTTTTTCTTAATAATTATTACTGTTTTGGTGCATGAAGACTAAGAACTTTTCCTTGAATTTCATTTCGTCTGAAGTGAAAACAGGGTCCCTGGTCCTGTGCAGAAACTGAATGGCTGCTTGCGTTGGTGAAGAGGCAATTTTTTCTTCTTTCCGCTCATGGACGGCAGCAAACCAAACTTCGTAGAGATCATTTCCAGACTTAGTTGTGTATCCTGAATTATGGAATAATAATTCTTTTACAACCAATATTATTTGTAAAATTAGATCAAGTTACCAATCAATGACTTGTGCCTGTTGACTGAAGCTTGTACCAAAATTTTTGAGTCGCTGAATGAATGGAGAACCTTTAAAATTAAATTTCTCAGGTTTTAATTGACTTGATCATAAAAGAAAAATATTTACTTTGAATATTTGGTTCTCCAGATCCACGAATCCGACCTTCGTGACGGGATTTCTCAAATTGCCCTCTTTGCTTTCCCACGAAACCACAAATCCGTCCTGCTCCTGTCCAAGAACCTTCCACTTTTCGGCTGCAAGTTCGATACAAATTAGGAAATCATTCTGCTGTCGAGACAAAATTTGAACACTCACCTGTGGTGCATTTGCTCGATTCGAAAAAGAGCTTCTTAAATTTTTCAACTAGATCGACAGGGTTTGCCATTTTCTACAATTTGCGATCAGACCAGCCTTTTTGAGTCGCTTCTGTGGTTAATTTGTCATCTTCTTCGCTCTCGGCCGCAGTCTCGGCCTTCGACATCGATCTGCTCTTGAAACCGCAAACAAAACAAACGCTGATTGGCCAGGAATATTCTGAACGCGCTCCTATTGGTGGAATCTTGTCAGTATCTTTCTCGCGGCGCCAAACTGCGGATGCGTGGAATATTTGCATTGGGATTTTATGGCTATATTGTTAAATGTTGATAATGATGACACACGGTCTTATCAGAATTTATGTAATCAATCATTAAGTAAAGGAAACGATTTAAAATTTCATGGCCAGATGAAAGAATAATACAAAACATAAATCACAAAAATACTTATTGCAATAATATTTTGAATATTTAACTCTGAAATCAGAATGTAAATTTTTGCTTCATAATCAGAATGTTAAATAATTTTGTATAATGGTCTTAAGCTATGAAATTATATAAAAACCATTTTCTTTTCATTTTAAAATAATAATAATAATAATATTTTACTCTGAAAACAGAATTTTAATTTTTGCTTATTGAAAAAAAATGTTAAAAATAATTTCATAAATATAATCGTCTCAGCTATGAAATTAAATAACCTAAAAACATTTTTCTTTTCATTTTAAAATGGAAAGGCAGATGAGATAGTAAAATCTTAATGTTTTATAAATATAACATCATTATAGGTATTGGACTCTGTGTGTTATTAACGATTAATTTAACGATTTGAAGGCCAGATGAGAAATAAAAACATTTTATTTAAGCAGTTAGAATGATTTTATTTCATTGGAAAACCCTTTCAATATTACATCGTTGAGTAAAGTCCATGCTCAACTGACAAATTCGCAGTTTTTTTTTTTTATATATTCTTTCCGCGATGACATCAAAACCGATAAACACTCTTTATCAGCAGAATATAATTAGCTAATTGTCACAAACTCGTTTCTGTGCCTGCGAGTGCTAATCAAGTAGTTTTTCAGATATTAAATTAATCTTGCTTCTCTATTATTTACATTCATATAATCTGAGTGGATGATAGCAGACTCGTTACAATCATTATCCTCTAGGTACATTATCTAGTTACATTCAAAGTACCTTAATTACAGTTGAACATACCTCTATCTATTTTACGCTTAAACTCCTACAAAGTGCAAATCGATAGAGATGACAATTACATTAGAACGAGCGAGCGCATCAATCAGAGCTGAAAGGACACACTAACGTAGAAGTTAATTAGCGTCTCGTAAATTGTGTATTTATGTGTTGCGTGAGAGAGTGTGTGAGTGTTTGTGTTTCACTTATTTATGGAAATGAGCCTTTCAATACAATCAATCGTAACAAAATAATGTACACATACAAATCGCACGTATATCATATCTATATATATTTATACTTCGCTTATACTTTAGTACCAATTTGTCAATGAAAGCAGCTTTGAGCTTTTTAAGTATGAACAATAACTAGATCATGAATCATACCAAATTTCATTATAATTATACAGTAGTGCAATAATTTTGCTGAAGCGACAGCGTTTGATTTTTCTTTTTCAATACCTTAATACCGTATTTTGTTATGACACAAAAAATTATCAGACTAAAATACGAGAATACAACCGATCATTCACTGTTTTTACTGGAAGTAAAAGTCACAAAAATTTCTTCTTGTAAATTTTGATGCGTGTACTTATGGACTAGGTATTTATACAAGTTCAGCATCGTTCGCGCCTGCACTTGCAAAAGTCCACTTTTCAAGCAGTCAGAGCAAGGTGAGTAAAATTTCCATACAGTGCGTGGTATAAAATCAAATTAAAACTGCTCCAAGGGTAAAAGGGATTTTTTGAAATTCCTCCGCAGTCAAAGTTGAAAATAAAATCAATTTAAAAATCATCAACAACCACAAATTTTGTGAAAGACGTTACATCTGAGAGTCACTTTGCTCAGCTAAGTGAGTTCAGAAATGTTGCTCAATCTCTGTCCGCGAAAAGGGATTTTTGCCAACCACCGTCTCATTTGCGATAAAATAAAAGGAACAGTCATTCGAAAGAAGAAAAGTGTTTGCGTGTGATTATGGTAGAAAAAATTACTAAAATATTTGAGGAAGCTTTGAGAAATTTGTCCATATTACAAAAAGCGCACATAAAATTAGACTTGTCTTTAGATGGTACTATAGAGTATGGTCGCTTTTAAGCCGTATTATAGTTTTGGTACTGTCAATTTTTGTCTCAATCAGGTAGCCTATTTTGCGAGAGTGTTAATGAGTGTGTGTAATTATGAATGTATGTATATATTTAGCACTAGGAAGAGGTATTCGAATTTCACTTTTTACGTACTTAATTTGTTTGCGCCGATTCTATCTAGCGAAATGGGTAAACATTTTGAGCACCAAACCGACTCCGAATTCTTTCTTTGAATCAAAGTCGGTTTGGAACGCTCTGAAATCTTTTTTGCGCCTTTTATTAATAATTTGTTCAGTTTTACTATTATTTACAATAAACGGTAATTTCGAGGAGGGTGTAATTATAATATAATAAAATATCATGCACCGCTATAATCTATGTGGGGCGAGAGGGCATGTCAACGAAACGCACAGATAAAAGTTTAAGCTCCGTATTTGGAAAATTTGGCAAATAGTTGGTAAATATTTCTCCGTTTGTTCTTATGATTCATGTTTGTACTGCAAAATAATATTTATATTTTCCAATCTTCTTCCATATATATGTACAGCGAGTTTTATTTCGAGAATTGTGGGCTGCATTATTTTCTTTCGTCAGGAGATGATATATTAAGAAGGAGTGCGCGCAAGAAGACCTTTTTTAAAACTGCTAGTGACTCAGTTTAAAATGCATTTTATATCAAACATATAATCCCTAATGTTTCTGTTTGCAGAATTTTTTAGTCGTTTTACATATTAATAATATTATTCAATCGGCGCCCTAATATATATATTTATTTGAAGCTGTTGTGTCTGCGAAGCTATTAGAAACCACAATCAATTTTTAAGCTTGTTTTAATGGTGTACCGTCGTGAATCAGGGGAACTGGCAGTTTTTTCGAGGTTATTTTTCGTGCTCTAAAAGATGAGCATTCAAATATGTGTGGTTTGTTTTTGACATCCAGTAATAATTACTTGTAAACATGATAATATTGCTGGTGATATACATGCATACATCGATTTTCTAGAGCGATTACACTTCTTTGTGAGAGTCATCATGCTTTCTTTCTCTTAAACCGTTTTCACGAAGATGTAAAGCACAAGATTAAAGTTTTCAAGAGCTTGCTTATTTTGCGTTTTTAAAATTACAAACACATTTTAGAGCCAATCAAAGGCATTAAAGAAAACTCGTTTCAAAAAAGTTAAATTCATTTTTTTTTTACAGAAAGCGTATCCTGGTCTATAGTGTTTTTCTTCTTTTTTAGAGAAACGCAGTCACGCTACAACACATTCATATATAACTATAATTATCCTCGTCACTTATTAGACTTTTTTTTAATAAATCATCGCCGTTTTTTTTTGAGCACTGACATTTTTTTGAAAATCGTGCTCCCTGAGAATCAAGAATGAAATTATAACGACAACAAAAATTGCCGATCATCGCATTTTTTTTTGCAGGCGCCTAATTATTCAGAATGGGGAAAATTCCGCTTCATATTATATATTTACAAATAATTACGCACTTCAACCAAAGAATTAATTCGTATCGTTTAAGTCACGCATCACCGATAACACAATCATACCCTCGCTCGCCGTATTATTTATTCTTAATATAATTATATATTAATGAAAGGAACTTGAATCTGACCCAATAAAATAATTATTAGCGTCCTCTACTATACATACGTGCGTTTTCTTTATAGTATTAACGTTTGCTGTGAGCATTTGCCTCGTTTCTACGAGAAAGTTTTATATCCTATATTATGTATTCCTCAATAATTTTTAAACCCTTTAGGTTACCAAATTAGGAACATAAAATGTGTTTTCATTAAAAATTTCTTCAAAAGATAACAAAAAAATAAGGTTTCTACAATGGCCCATCTGGATTTTAGAAAAATAATTGTTTATAATTTTCTCATTAAATATACAACAGGCGGTGTGTGTGTTTTTTTAAGTGTGTTTCACATTTTTCGCGTAATTTCGGATTAAATACTGTGTGGAAGAATTGGTAGGAAAAATATAAGAACTCTTCTCATTTTGTATAAATATTGCCAATATTTCTTGTCAGTTTGTTTTCAACAAAAGACAACAATGATGTCCGCTGGGGGATACTGCTAATATAATAAAGATATCTTTACTAGCCCTCAACCCGCTTTTTAATTCACCATTTTTTGCTTCTTTTAGTGCTCATAGCAATCATCGTTGTACAGGTAAAAATTCAATAATTTAATTTTTTCACTGATTAACGTTTTCAATCAGTTGTGTGTGTGTCGGTCTAAGAGTGTACGTTTTCAAAATTCTTAACAAACCAAGACATATCCTTAAAAAGCGCTTAGCGTTATTTAACTGTTAAATATAAACATTGCGACAAATGCGATGGAATCGGCGGTAATCTTATTTTAACTGCCTTTCAATATCAATTTACTTAAGAGATGCCCAATTATTGATTTTCCTCGTGGAAAGAATCTAATCCGTTTAGTCCCATCGCATCGTCAGCACCTAACTTAATTATTTACAAACAAAACGTTCTTCATTACGAGAAGGAATGAATAAAAATCAAATCTGTACGAAACATAAGATACGAGTGTAGAGTAAAATTATTTTTCTTATCCATATTTAGTAAGAAGTAGGTTTTTAATTTCCAAATCCACGAAGAGTCAAACGATTGATTCAGTCTCTCTCGCAATCGCATTCACAAAGATGCGCAATTAGTCAAGTTATTTATTGCTAACACATTTATCTGCAAAAATGTACGTGGGCTGCGATCAATTAAATGAGAATCTTATTCATTCACACATTTCTCTGACTTGCATCAGTTGAAAAAGCGATGATCATGAATCGTACGCGATCTATTGAAATGATTTGCCAAAACATTTCGCTCTTGCGTAGAAATTCATTTTACAAAGAACAGAGGAAACTACCAGACTCCCACTACAGCCGGTAAAAAATTAAGACTGTGTTGCTTGCTTAGTGTTGCAGAAAATTAAGTCTTTTGAAGCCTAATTTTTGTGTGTGTAAAATGCCAATCCTTCTAGGAGCTAAAAATTTGTCTCCAATATTAAAGCATAAAAAATTATAACCAGTTTATCTTATATTTGTCACTTTTTAGAAGCTGCTGCTAATTACAGAGTGAATTAGAAACGAATTTTGATGATTTAGTATCATCTTTCATATCGCGGTTTGCGTATTTTTTTTTAACAACTTGACCGTTTTGTATGAGCACCGATATTTTATATTTTCCGATGTCTGCAGAAAATTTGTACGTTGGTTTTCTTTACTAATGTGTCTGGTGAGAGCCATGGGCCCTTTTTCCGTTAAACTCTATTGAAAAAATGGTAGCAGGAATCTTGTAGTTTGACTATTTCATGCGTATGGAACTGCGACACTCAAGTGAAAAGGTATAAAAGTAGTTTTGTTTCAGTTTTTAACTATATCAATCAATGTTGCGCCAATGCTTACGTTTCTCGCACAGGGCTAAATACAATGAAGGAAAGTAATAAATATATTATTATGTCATAACACGTCAGCCCATTCATAAAAAGTCAAAAGTCAAAGCTGTTATTTACAATTTACACATATAGAAAGCAAAACATTTTAAACGTGTCCTCTAGTGAATCATCGAAAAGAAAATCAACAAATTTTTAAGACCTGAGCTTTGGTGGTATATTTTTAAAATCCAATTTGATTGAACCAAAAAATTAATAACTGAGAGCTAAACACGGAAATAATGCGTAGAGAAGAGTGAAGTATGCTATGTGACGTAAAGAATGCTATTATATTATTTGCAAAAGTACACTAAGCTTTCTGGATGATAATCCATTGTAATGAGTCTATGTTAATAAAAACTTGCATTAAAAGTTACTAGCCTACCAAGTCGTATAAATCAATCACGTCTAGTCATCTATTGCGTTAAAATAATGGTACACATATTGCTCTTACAAAATTTGTTGAAAAATTTAAAAAAGGTCAACGTCCATTTTCTTCCGCTAGCTCTCAGTTTATGTCAAAAGTTTTCAACAACACATTTCAATGACTTGCACGCTTCGTATTTTTACTTCAAGTAGTTCGGGAAGTGCAAAACAATTATATGATTTTGACTCGGTGCAACTTGCAAAGTTGTCTTTTCAAAAATAAAAAGTAGATAAAATTCAACAAAAAGTCATAAAAACAATTTGATTGGTATTTGATCTACCAAATCACAATTCCTCAAGTAGAATTGCCTTTTTCGAGCGTAAATAATTATTAGCTGCAATTTCGCAATTTAATTATAAATGGTAACAGATAAGTTGTTTTTCAAAACGGGGTGGTTGAATCAACCAACTTGCAAGCTCGCGTCATAAATTAACTTGATAAAACGTCTTCTCTCAATAGAAATCAGCCAATAATTCTGAATATAGTAAAAATAATTTCACTTATTACCCTAACACAGGTTCACCAGCATCTTTGCACTTGCCAACCAAAAATATCTTAAATACCTCCATCTCCATTCTATAACAATATTAAATCTTGCCCTTGCTATACTTGTTGCATAAAAATTAAGATAAAGTTACGTTATAATATTGTTGAATTGCATATTTGACGTTCATTATGTTTTTCTTCAGGTATAGTGATATTGAATAAACCTAACTATTCAAGCTCACGCAAGCCAGTTGTGAGCATTCTACTTGTGTAGACGAATAAAAAACCTCACCACAGAGTACACTGTACGATTGTGTGCTACAAAGTTAGAATATCTGAATTCTGTTGTTGCCAAAGTCGACAACAACAATTTTACCGTTCGGAGTCAGGCAAATACCACTGGGGCGGTCGAGTTCTCCTGGCTCTGTGCCCGAAGTACCAAACTTCCACACGAAACCTCCGTTTGGCTCGAAAATCTAGAATTTGACAAATTTAGCTAAAGGAACTTTAATCCACAAACTTATATTTTACCTGTACACGGTGGTTGCGGGAATCGGCAACAATGATATGGCCCTCATCGTCAACCGCAACCCCCTGGGGCCTGAGGAACTGCTTTGCCTGCGATCCCTCGCCCCCGAGAAATCTTGCTGTCGAAAAGTCCGGCTCTATGACGACAAGTCTGTGGTTGTTGAAGTCGGTGACTATGACACGATTGTCCGGCGCCCAGCACACACCTCGTGGGGAGTCAAAGTGTTTCCACATGCCGGCGCAGTTCTCGAAACCGTATTTGCACAAAAAGTTTCCACTGTGGTCAAAAAGTTGAACTCGGTGGTTCCTCGTATCAGAGACAACAATCCGAGACTGAAATTGCAGGATAAGAAAATTAATTTATTCTTTCCTTGGTAGAGGAAAAGCGGGCTCACTTCCGAATCTGTAGCAACATCCCAAGGATAGTTGAACTGGCCTGGTTTGGATCCCTTTTCACCAAACTTGAGCAGAAAAACACCTTCGAAGGTGAATATCTGAATGCGGTGGTTATCCTTATCTGCTACAACGATTCGCCCGAGAGTGTCTACTGAAACTCCAGCAGGTCGGTCAAACTGACCAGGACTGCATCCCTGTAGTAGAACAAAGCTTGTAAAGGAATATCCTTTGATATTTCAGCATTATTACCTGTGAGCCAAACTTGTGTCGGAAGGTTCCATCAGCCTCAAATACTTGTACTCTGTTGTTGGAGCGATCAGCAACGACAATCCGTCCCTCTTTATCACAAGCCACGCCCCAGGGCCTGCATAAATCACCTTCACTTTCGCCCTCCTGGCCAAAGACGCAGTAGGGCATGCCGACGTTCACATAATCACGGCCAGTTCGTACCTAATGAATTCAAAGTCAAGCGAGATCAACATGATTTGACTTAAGAAAAAATCACCATCGGATGAAATGGACTGTGGCGTATTGGCCGACCCCGAAGGGTGACGGAAACCTCGTGGATGCCCTCACGCCGTGGCAGGTAGCTGACTAAATAGCTGCCATCACCTCGATCTTGGACATCTCCATGTGTCATCCTAAAAGAGGAAATTACCAAATTAAACCATGGGAGCAATTGTCTGTAAAAAATCTAAAATTACTGCCACTCATTTTTCATTTACCTGGCAGACTGATCAGTTACAATGGCACTAATCATATCACGTCCCGTGGTTCTTGGTTCGCCCAAGTGATCTGCCACCCTGATGACACATCTTTGTCATTTCAGGCAGATAAGAAATACAACTTTGGACCTACCTAACGGTGAAGGCGGCTGACCTGCCACGGACACCCCTTTTCAGACCTTCTCCGGAAGCGACAGTGAGGTCTGCACAGCCGGAACTCGTCACGCTGCCCAGCTTGTTGATCGAGGCAAACAACGTCTGCACTTCTGGAGCGGTGAACAGCATCGTGTCATCCTCGCAGGGCAAAAACTGCGGTGGTGACCTGGGTATGGCTGGCGGCGAGGTCGACGGGGAGGTTGAGTTCGGGGTCGGTGGGGAGGAAGTGGTAAGAACGCGAAGATGCAGTCTTAGAGATTCGGCCTGTATGCAAATTAATGTTATTTTTTTTAATCCAATTAAAATTATAATAATGTATAATATTAATAAGAAAAAAAAGGGAATTTAAAAGTAAAGAATAGTCCCATAGCAGGTGCCCTTTATGGTTTTGGTAAAACTGGTTTTGCATAATTGGAAGTCAACCCTTAGGGTCGGCGCTCATTTTCTTGGCACCGAGGAAGAAGTTCATTTGGTGGCCTCCATTTCCCTGAGTGGTGCATCCCTGGAACTCTTCTTTACTTTTAAATTCCCTTTTTATCTTGATTCATTGCTTTAAAATTTATATCAAATTAAATGAACAAAGAATGCAAAGGATCCCAATTTCAAGAAATAATTTGTAAATAATTAATATATAATTGAATGCAATTAATAAAATAATAAAAAATCTATTTTTTCAACCTGTTGCTTTAGTGCGTTGAGCTTGGCCTGGCTCACTCTTTCAACTCGCATCAGTACTTTCTGCTCCCGTTCGGCCAACGCGGCGGCGAGTCTGCAAAACATGGTGCGAATTTCAGAGGAGATGGCAGCAGCACGTCGCTCGACAGCCGCTGCTGTGGAGTTCACAAGGTCCAGAGCCTCTTCAGTCTTTTGGGCCAGCAAGATGTTGGAGTGGTTTGCAACTAGCGACTGTGGCGCAATAGTCACTGATCCATTTGGCGGCGGCGAATGCGTCAAGCTGCTGCAGTTGAAATAAAATTAATAAATGAAATAAACACTAAAAGAGATAGCCCATGAAGTTAAAGTATAATTTAAAAGTTCTTATTGTTAGTTCTAAGATAAAATTTTTAGTTAATGTTTATAATATAAGAAACACGAAAAAAATTAATTATCTAAGGAAATTTAAGTAAATTTTAGAATGTGGTTACAATTAGGTTACAATTTTTGCTCATAAAAAATATTTATATTTTGTAAGAAAATTTCACGATAGAGGCTGATTCAGGGATGATTGATAGTGCGAGCAGCGCGTTTGCTCATGAAATAGGGTCGTAGACCGTGACTGAAACTGGTAGAGCCGTTTGTTTTTGAATAAAAAACAATTTTTTGCAACGAGGAAAAGCCCGAATCTTCATTTCCATGATTGATAGTGTTTTAATTTAAATTCGGCTTTTCCTAGATGGGTTTTTTTGAGTCGTTTATTGTTTTGTAGAACAAAAACAGGATATTGCTTGATAATGTTTTTTTAAGGAAACAATAAATGACTCAAAAATCCCATCTAGGAAAAGCTGAATTAAAATATAAACATAGAAAATATTTTGACTTCAATAAAAATCACAAAAAGATTAAGTAATGGAAATGAAGAGATCGGGCTTTTCCTCGTTGCAGAAAATTTGTTTTTGAATAAAATCAATTTTTCTGCAACAAGGAAAAGCCGAATATCTTCATTTCCATGATCATCTCGTCGAGTTTAAACTTCTTCAAACAAGATTATGTAACTTTTAAATTATAAAAGAGAAAAAGTTTTCAACCCAAGCATTGAAATGAATATATCTGTTTATTAGGATGACATTATGAAGATGAAAAAAGAAATAAATTGCACCTGAGACTGTCTGGAGAATCCCCAGGGCTAGGCAGTGAGCCTTGCGAGGAGATGCGCATGATATAGTGGTCCTTGGTGACTCGAACCCTCTGGTGCGCCTGAACGCAATTCTCACACAAAACCTCATTGCAGTCCCTGCACCGGAAAAGACCTATGATTCCATCGTCGCACCCGCACGTTGCTCTGCCGCTGCTGCTGCTGCGAACACAAAGAAAACAAAAAAATTAGGGGTTGCCCAACCATGTCACATTCCAGCAATCCCGAGAAACACGCGCATTCAAGTTTCCTCACAAAATTCCAACGTGTTTCGCAATCGACGAAAAGAAAAAGGCACATAAAAAAGGACACATACCAAAGGTCGCTGATAATCGGTGGGCTGGGCGAGGAGGTGATGGTGGTGCTGCCCAGGGTCTGCAGCAGGTCTGCCAGCAACCCGCCGCCCCCGCCGTCGCTGTTTTCTGGGCTGATGCTGCCGAGGCCGACGGACAATCCGCTCGGGGTGCCGTTGCCGTAGAAGGCATTGTTGTTGTTGAACCTCGGCAGGGCCAGTTGGTGGTGGCTGTTGGCGCCCAGCGGCATCTGATGGTGGCCGTTGCTTGGCATCGACGGGAACTTGTCGATGCACAGAGTGCAGTTGTTGAGGTCGGCGCTGTCCCCGTGGAATCCAGCGTTGAAAGACGCTGCCATCTGAAATAATGAAATAAAAAGTTCCCAGTTATTTAAAAAGTTCAGACTCGTAAAATAAAAAAAAAGTAAAGAATAAAAGTATTATATGTTTCGCGAACGTTCGATAATTTCCCAAGGAAAGGGAAATCGCGCATGTGTCACGTGTCGATGACCCGGCGAGCTAAGGGTTATCTCTTTACTTTTCCAGCACAATTTGCACAAGTAAATCGCAGTCGTGGTGGAAATTTAATTAGCGAAGTCGTCTTTGTGTCAAATGAAACGCATTTCGCGATAATGCGCGCAACCCCCGGCTGCAGCGATAAGGGCGGATGTGCCCAGAACCGACTGGCAGCGACGCAATTCCAAAATGAATTCGTCCATTACAAAGCACAATTGCATTTACGCATTTGAAATTACGCAAAATTTCCGGCTAAGTGGGCCACTTTCCCCGAGCAAGTGAATGGAAATTGGATTCGGCCAGACTCTGGGGCGGCGCAAGGCCGGTTCATCAAAGGACCAGAGTTTTTTCGGCCGAGTCGAAAGCGAAATTCAACCCTCGGCTGGGGTGTGTACGCCGATGGTCGCATGCACTCGGCCAAGATGCACGCAAATTAGTTTTGAAAATTTCAAGTGAAAGCACTTTTGCTGGTGGGAAAAGCGATTCTTTTTGGAAAAGCGCCGTATTTGGAGAAATTTCACCTACCTATCGGGTTTCGAAAAAACCAGAGTGGATCAAAAGGAGTAGAAATTTGAGGAAACTTGGCGAAAAGCTCTCTCTCAAAGCAAGAGTTCCACTTTGCAAGTGACGTAAGAAGAGCAATGGTGGCTGCAATTGCACCGACGCGCGCGGACAACGGCGCAAATGCGTTTTTTGAAATTCAAATTTGGAAAAACCGGATGTTCCGGGGGATCAAGACGGCCAAAAGGCCTCAAGGGCGAACGCAAACGAAAAAATCGCACCACCGAATCACCCGCGGTGCTCGCACGAGAGAGAATTAGGGGAGGAGGGGGTTACTCGAGTGCAATGACCCAGTTCACCATTCACTCGCGACCTCGCCAATTAAATTCGGAAAAGTCCACCAAAATTTATTTCCTCGACAATGCCGCCACTTTTGCTTTTCCGCACTTGCGTTGGCGTGTTCGGAAAAAGTGCATTTGACTCGCCTAGTTGCACTCGGTGCAACGTCACAATTAACATGGCTGCAATTGCAAGCTGCAATTGCGCACATTTCTTGTCCCGATGAGTGACGTAAGGCGCCGTTCAAAATTTGCAGATTTCTCCGCTGGCAATGTGCAAAAAGTTTAATTTTTCGTCTCAAAGTAAAAAGAAAAAATTGGGCTGCTGAAAAAAGTGGCGGGCGCCGAGGTCGGTGAACTTTTGGCGAACTGGGTCAAACAGGTGCATCTGCCCCAGCAACAACACGTTTCCGTTCGCCCTGCGTTCGCCAAAAGTAATTTTCCGCACTGGAAATTCCGGTCTTGAAGCACAGGAAGGGGCCAAAGCCGGATTTCAGCCCAAAACTTTAAAAACCAAGGCGGGCGAGAAAGGGCGGAGAACGGAAGTGCATCAAAACCGGGCCTACCTCAACATTGGTTACCTTTTGGGCGGTTCATCGCACGCGGTACGTTTTTTCTCCCACGGCACTCGAACTCGTTTAAACTTCAAACGCACAATTATTGACACTGGTCAGGATTCGCAGGCGAAGGTGCGAGCGACGCTCTCGAGACTAACTGCACGGCAACGGTGCATATTATGAATCAATGCAGAGGAAAGTGCAAGTGCATCATCGCATACAGCTAGCTGGCTCCGACTGACAGAGCCAACCGGCCAGCCAGCGCTGCAGTGCAATGCACTTCTTGCCGCAGCCGCCGTTGGCATTGGCCTCAGTCTCACTACACCCCTTGACGTAATACTGCAATTATTTTTTATTTTTAAATTTCAATAAAAAAATCGAATATGTATTTTTTTTTTAATATTCATAATTTTTAATTTTTGTGTGTGTAGGATTCACTCGGCGTTAAAACTTGCGTCATTCACTTACCAGGAAATGACTCTCAAATGGCTTCTTTTCTCATAACAATCGACCAAGGACAATGGTGTGAAAAAAGAAAAATTTATTTTGGTCCGGATAAAAAACTTGCTTAAAGATTTTTAATTTTTGTATCAAAGCGGAAGGACGACATGTTCGTTTTTTCTCAAATTTTCCACGACTTTTCTCAACAATTTCCAATTTTCGAGTGGAATTGGCGACCGAGTTTGCGCTCAACGTTTCAAGGTCGACGACACGCCGGTTCCGCGTGTGCAAATTTGGATTTTGCAGCATTTTGCGCTGGGCGAAATTGAATCGGGAGTGACGCGATCCGGGTGTTTCACGGACGCGAGTGTGGCAGCTGCCGCCTGCTCACGCCGCTTCGAGTTGGGTAGGTCGGGGAAACGGAGGGGGAACCAAAACTACGACAATAACACACGTCCACCCGCCGCGTTTGCCGACTCGAAAGCGGCTGGAAAATTGACAAAAGCGGCCGGCGACGGCGGCCGATTTTCGAAATAAAGCCCTTGGGGCCCGTGGCCGCTTGTGCGGCGGCCGATTCCAATTCCTCCGGGCCTGGGACAAGAGCGAGTGGCTTGTCGGAGGTCACTTCGGCAGCGACAAACTTTCACGTGCTCCGAGTGCGGCGTTTGAAAATGGGCCTCGTCTTACCTTTGCGCCGTCTATTCGGGGGCCATGGGCAGCGAATTGCGTTCGGACGAACGTGGCGAATGCGGTTCGTGTCACGAAAGCGAACCTGCGGCTGCCGGTGTGGCCTTTTTCGTGGATAAATTGGATAGCTCTGCTTCCAAGGCTCGAGTTCTGATCGCAACTGAGCAATTTTCGACAACCCTGGGTCCTTTACTCCCCTCTTATGCCGGCTGTGTGCGAGCGTCACGTGACGCACGGTCGACCAATGGCAGCTCGCCGAGGTCTTTGACCCGCACGATGGTTGTTTCATGTAGACTACGAGTTTCCAACCTATCCCAATCCACAAAGAGTTATGGTGGGACCACGGTTTCACGAAAAAATAAGAGAAAAAGAGATTGCCTGCCCAGAAGCTGCTGCTGCTGCGCCGAGCGTTCCCTGCTCTTGCTGGCTGAGGCCAAAGCACCCATCCCCTCGCACAAGGCCACAGCGAAAATTATTTTTATTGCATCGCAATTAGATAATTAGGCGCCGCCGCAGTCACGGGTTTAATGACTTTGGGGCATTACTCTGCTTCTAGATTACGCTTTGTTATCGGCCAAAAACAAATCCGCTATTTATTCCCATTTAAAAAAAAATGCTGAAATTTTCATATTTTTAACCTACAATTTTAATTTTTACACAAACATGTTGTAACGTTTAAATAATAAATGAAATGCTAATTTTTCTAATATATAGAAACATTGATTATTATTTAAGAATTTCTACTCGGCTGCGGCATATTTTTTTTTTAAATCTCTCCATTTCAATGCAGAATCAATCAATCTCAGCTTTCTCTCTGACGCATCCCACGATTTTTCTTTTTAGACAGAAAAATGAGGCTTGAACACGAAATTTCACTTCACTCATCCGTGGAATTTTCTTTGCATATAAAATATAAATTACAATAAGTTATTTTCCTTCAATTCTTCGGAGTTCACTACACACTGCCGAGCTCATTTAAAAACTATAAAAAATTCGAATAAAAATAAATCTGCAGAGCAAGCTTCCTTTTTCCACTTGAGCGTAATATTATTTAGCGAGCCCACTCTCTCGAGACAAGATCACGCGGGTGTCTTCCTTTTTTATTTTATTTTTACTCTTGGGCAACCAAGCTCGGTCGCTATTGGGCAAATAAAAATTGTCATAATTATACACGCAGCGCAGAGTAGATTTCGTCACACGCTGTCAATCACACAAAAAAGAGGAGGTTGGCGAGCCCAAGAAGTGTAAATTGCATCTGCACTTGCTTGCGTAGCCTCTCAGCAATAGCAAGGACGGCGTGCGCGCACACACATGAGAGTGTCAATGACTCTCGTTTGAATAATAATTGCACTCTTTGCGGCTGCACTGCAAAGAGCAGCCAACGTGCGTGCACGCCGCGACGGTGATTTTTGCACCAAAGCGGCCGCACTTGCACTTCTTGTTCAAAACAAAAACTTCAAGAGTGTGCTTGAATAAAATGTGGTGAAAATCTTTTTAATTCTTGGTTAGGATTTATTTAAAAACGCGGTATTTTTCAAAGTGTTTTTTTTACTACAATTTTATGCAAAATTTTGAAGAAATAAATAATGTTTGATTTGCGTTAAAAGATAAAACGATCTACTTTTTAAGCTGATTTAAATTATTTTTTTACACCTTTCCCACTTAATCAAAATATCAAAGTTTTGACGTTGGAATAAGCATGTAAAATTTTCCTTCAAACCTTCTTAATTAATATTCATTACTTTTTGAAAAATTCTAATATTTTATTTCAACAGTCATCAACTTTTATTAAAAATTAAAAATATTAATATAACAATATGGTTGATTATATTAATTTTGGATTTCTGAAAAAAAAAACTTTGATAAATAAACTTAGTATTATCTCACAATAGGGAACTAAAAATAATTTTGTAAATGTTATCTTAACTTATTCAAGAAAAATAAACGACCACGCACATTCAAGAAAGAGTTTGTCACCATTATTTACATTATAAGTAAAGGGGGACGTTTGTTTAATTTAATTTTCATTTTTTTTTTAATTCAATGTTTTTGGAAGCAAAAAAACTACGGAGACCTGAAATAAATATAGCAGCTGAAATTGGCATTGCGACTAATATAATGTGGCTTTATAAATAAATTTTATACAGATGGACCATTGTTTTTTTCTGCTTTATTAGCTTGTCTCTTTTCACAATCAGTTCTTCCTATATACACGCCCTCGCAAAAAAACTTTTCCATCGGTAGCGAAATTGAATGGGGGCGATGAATGGAGTCGTTGTGTATTTTAATATGAATAACTGCACGAGCCCTGCATGCGTACGCAATAAATTCGCAAGAGTGCAACAATATTTAACAATAATTACACGGTGGAGGCGCAAGACGAGTTGATTGCCAGATTATTAATTGAAAAAGAGCACACACAGCTCTCGCCGTGCTGACCTGAAGGGCATAATTTATTTATCGGCGCGCGCTCTTTCATTGTGCGGCGATGCCCATGCAGTTTATTTATGGCTTTGGCTCTGCTGCACTACAAAGTGTGCTATGCTATAATAATAATATCAAAGCGGCATCGGACCAAACGCTATGCGAGTGTGTGATTCCATGAAAACGCGCCTTTGATCTTTTCGCAAATCACGCACGGCTAATTTGTTGAGATTACTGCATTTGCGTCCAGCGATGGGAACCAATCAAAAATCAAAAGCGAAATATTTTGATGTGTTTACAGCAACTTAAGGTAATTGTAATTTTTTTATACAAAAAAATTTAAAATTTGGTCTTTTTAAATGAATTGGGAAAATTAGAATGATTTTTGTGTATTTTTTTATGTTTCATTTGATATATTTCATATCTATATGCAATTTCTAGAAATTAATAAATAATACCAATAAAACTGCATCTTAAATTTCATAAATCTTGAAGAAGGAACTATAAACTCTGGCAAAGAAAGAACACAATGTAGTCATTTTAATTATTGAATTTTGATTGATAGCACATAAATTTGAAATATTTTTTACCTCTAAGTTACTTTAAATAATTGAATTATTAAATTTTATTCACTTAACTTTCACTTTAAAATAAAAATTTGAAAATTCCGAATAAGAAAAAAACAATTGTGAAAAATTAATATTCTTATTCAGATAATCCGCAATTCAACACTTAAAAAATTTCAAGGTTTGGTAAAAATTTCAAAATCTTTTTAACGGAAGAGGAAATATGAGAAATATTATTCTCAGCAGGTGAAAATTCATTATTCCGAAAGGAGGAAATTTTTTAAAAGACGTTGAGAAAATTTTTGACCTTCACAAAAAAAAACTCATTGGAGGTCGGTGTGAGAAATTATCGCACTCTGTCAGTTTCTCCTGCCCATAAATCGTAGCAAGGGTGCAACCGCGTGCACACCGGGCGAGGTCATGGCAGCGGCTCGTCGGCGTGACCCCGGCAGTTACGCAAAGGCGAGAGCAGGCGTGCGCTAAAACATAGTAAAACGTGCACAGTGAGAGGAGTAGGAGGAGGAAATTCTATAAAATCTAGGCAAAAAGCGGCGGCGGCCGGCGGAACACGCTGACAGAGAGGGTGCATTGCCCGTTTGTGCGAGAAAAGGGTGGGGCTTTCGCTGGCGGTGCTGCTCTCACTGGTGCTGGGTGCATCGACGGAGGCTTTTTCGGTGCTGCGCGGGTTGATGGCCCGGCCCGACCGACCGACCGTCGGCCCAACAAGAGGGTTGATGCACGCCGGCTACACTACCTCGCTGCTGCGAGGGGCGAACGAACCCAAATAACCTCAAATTCGAGCACGCGGACCGTTTAATTGCACCGCCATCAAATTGCAATTTTAATTTACATTCAACCCACGCATTTCATTGAGGCGCATTTTGGAGGATGAAAAACCACCCAAGGGCAGCAAAATCCTCAAAAATGTATTAGGGATCATTTTAGTAACCAGAATATTGGGGGTTAATGCATTAAATTAACGTGGCTCGCTTATGATAAAATTTCACTACAATCATTCAAAGATTCCATTTTAAGTCAACGAAACAAACTTTGGCACCAAAGTGTTTCTTGATAACCCTTCTAAAGATTATGGTACCGAGAAAATTTTTGAGAAAGGTGTAG